ACCTACACTCGATTTGGGGACATACGCTTACCAACGACACCCCCTTCGCCAGCAACTGCACAATTGGAGAACCAGACATCATACTATCTTCAAGAATTGGAAGATTTACGCCTGCAATTAGTGGCAATCAATCAACAAGGCCTGCCACACCATCTCAACACAGTGCAGCATCATCAAATCGCTACTTATGCTGCCCTAGCAATATCAATGCTATTGATTATTGCGTTCATTCTCCGGAAGAAGTATCAATCATGGAACCCAAGGCCGTCAACAATCAACCAAGCAGAGCCACGCGGATCATCACCGCCGATCCCCATTCCACGCCGCTTTTCAGTCGACTTGGGCGATGGTTGAACACCAGTTCAACGGCCGGGAGAATGTTCAGTCGCATATTTATGCAGTAATTAATATTACATAATATACACTTATCGAATAAGTCAGGTCGACCCATGTAACGGGAGACATAATAACAAACGACAAGGCATTGTAGCTGAGTCAACAATAACCGCTTCTGCAGCAATTTCTGCCAACGATGCGATCGCTCGTCAGAGGGCAAAAACACTGGTGCAATTGCTGACTATCACAATTGCCCAATAACACAATATCATATTAAATCCAAATTAATTCAATATTAATTCCAATTCCCTTTTACCATATTCTAACTAGACTCAGCACTTTCTGTACCTTTTGTTACCTATAAACAGAAATTAAGTTTGTTGAATAAAATCAGTATCAGAAACAGTACCATCACTGCCTGTTCACTCATTCTCTACAACTGCAATCAACAGAGGCTGTCGCCGTGTCTTCAGACCCTCATTTGCTCGACGTAGGAATCCCTCTCCGCAGTCCAACTGGTTCAAGTTCTAGTTGCGACGACAAATTTGTAGACGGTTTATGTACCGTATGCATACCAAAACACACACACAATCAAACATTAACAAGAATCGTTCACTTGCAGCAAACATGACAGCTTCATTGTTGAACGACCCTTCTTCTGAAGATTTCTCCAAGAAATTGCCGACTATTGGTAATGGCCGTGTTCCTGTCCACGAAGCGAGCAATTTTGCTCATTGAAAGACTAGCTTATCAGCAAAGTATTCTCGAACATAATTGCTAACCACAAAAATAACAAATGGTTTAGAGAGCGTGCAATTTTGGCGGCTAAGAATACAGATGTGAATGACAACTTTAAATTTCAGAATCAAATCGTTGGTACACTGTAATAAGCCACTGAAACCACTAATTATCCAAATGCTTTTTTAAACTCCTTGGATGAGCATGGTTTACCACCATCATGCTTCGAAATCTAAACCCACCGAAACTATGCAATGGAACTGATGAGTAATATGATTCACGCGACGATTCAAAGGAAAATTTAAAGATGAGTTAGTCCTTATTCTGAGTATTTTAATGATCCAAACGGATATGCCCATTGAGTTTAAACGAATTCAGTTGCCGAATCGTCTTGCCTTCGCCATGACGATTGATAAATCACAAGGCCAATCCTTGACTGTTTGTGGTCTAAAGTTAGAAAATCCATGTTTTTCTCATGGCCAGTTGTACGTGGCATGTTCACGTGTCTGCAAATCATCCGCTCTATTTGTTCTCGCGCCTGATAAATAAAAAATGTAGTATGTAACAAGGTGCTTCAATGAAGAGCTGGTTTCGATTCCATTTAAATAATCATATTGAAATTTTAACTATCTATGTTTTCTTATCAATCTGAAGTTTATCTTATGGTGTTAAATTGGGGCGACATGAAGTTCGCCGGGTCCGCTGGCTCTACATAAATCATACTTCTCGTTTTTATACCCGTACTCAAAAAAGAGTTAAGGGGTATATTAGATTTGTGGTAAAAGTGGATGTGTGTAACGCAGAGAAGGAAACGTTTCCGACCCCATAAAGTACATATATTCTTGATCAGCATCAATAGCCGAGTCGATATAGCCATGTCTGTCTGTCCGTCTGTCTGTCTGTCTGTCCGTCTTGTTGAGCGCCTAGATCTCAGGGACTATAAGAGCTAGGGCAACCAAATTTGGTTTCCAGACTCATGTGATATCCCACTGCTACAAAAACGAATTATCGTAGAGAATGCCCATATCTACCAGACTGCCGAATCTGAATCAGATCGGATCATAATTATAGCCAGAATGAAGAAATTAATTTTCAGTTGTTTCCCCCGCCCCCTCCGACAAACGACAACGCAACTCATTTTCCATCTCGCTCGCACACTCTGCCGCGTTCAGTGCGCGAGAAACCCCTAGCGGAGGAGATGTAGAATATGAATGGTACATCTATAATCTACATGTTAGATGTAGAATATACATTGTATATGTATATGTAGATATCAGATGTAGCAAAAAAATGTAAAATGTAAATTTTTTTTTTTTTTTTAATTAAAAAATCATAAGCTCAACAATGTATATACTGACTGAGTACGGGTATAAGTAGAGTCGCGTCCCCAGAAGCTACTCACACGTTCCTACTCGTTTTTAATCTAAAAGGCGAATTTTTTCACTAGGACCGCGAAAAAGACATTTACCTAACTATGCAACTTGCCATAAGCAAATTTGGACATTTTCTTCAAAAGCATAAATAGTATGGACAAAAGTGAAACTTTGAAACTCCATTAAAATAGAACCATGTCCGACTGCCAAATACTTTCTCCACGTAAGTTCTTGACAGAGCGCGGCCCATTCCATTTCTTTGGGTCAATGCCTTCAGTAGCGCCGAGACGAGCCATACTGCAAAAACAACTACATATGTACATACATATGTACATCGTATATGTAAATCGGCATTAATAAATTGTGGCGCCCGGTGCAAATGCACATTTCACCAAACCTTCGTACCGCCCTGTCTGTTATACAGAGAAACGGCTAGAATTCCGAACAGTCACATTTCAATACGAGTATCATTTCAAATTATACCAAACCGTATAGAAACCGTAAAAAAAATACTTAGTTTTATAGATTTATCAAAACAAATTCGACTTTATTTGAATGGCTTGATAGTAAACATACATACATATGTAATAATATTTAAAATGTAATATCTTTTTTGTTCAGTTGTTTCAGCGGTGAGCAAAGTAAAACTGTGTAAGTTGACCTTCAACTTCAAAAGCTAAGGAAAAGTTGACAAAATAAAATTTCCTGTATTTATAAAATCTACTTATATGAGTGCAAAAATTAAGCGGGATTCGTTTGCTGCATTTAGCAAAGATATTGCATTAGGACCGAATCCCATTTCAATTTTCGTTCTATGCTTCGTAGTACGGGTAGTACTGGTACTTCAATTATATTTTGTCTCTCGTCGCGACCAAGATAACATACAACAACAAATTCGCATTCGCAAGGCATTGACGAACAGACGAAACCGAGTAGGCAGCGGGCTGCGGTCAGATACAAAGCATAGATGTCTCCAGGGCATCACGGAAACCACCGCCATAGAACATCTCAGAATACACAGCTAGCCAAGTTAGTACCGCTACCTCAGTTTAGTTCTCACTCGCTAGAAACAACGGATACAAGATACACAGGCTTATTTCACTGTAAAAATTTACCGAATCGGTAATGCACCTGCAAATTGCTAGCGATAAAGAAGAGTTGCTAGGATCTTGGTTAAAGCATCGAAATCAGTGCAGAAAAACTCAAACGTCCAGCTACAGTGCTTGAATGGTTATGTTAGGCTAGGTTTACGCGGTCTATGTATGTTTTTTCCTCTTTTATTCTAAAATTTGTTAAAAAATATCGGTTGCAAATATGCCCGAAATTAAGGTGCAGTTATGACACTGCCTTTACGAGAACGAGACCAGACGAATTTCTCTCGAGAAACAGAAACTTTTTGCGGAAATATACAGAGAGCGAAGAGAGCTAGTTATGTACTAATGATAATTTTTCCAGCTCGTCCATCATACCGCACTGCCCGTTGAACATCTCTCTCTATATTTCTCTTTCCATCAACGAGTTATTGAGCCTCTATATCTCATCACTCCGTCTGGAGAAAGATAGAGAGCTAGCAACGGGCTAGTGCTACGAGAGCTGCCGATAGTGCGGCGGGGTACTTAGCAACGGGAAATCGTTTTCTTCATTCTATAATAATTATATAATCTGGTAGAGATGGTGAGCAAAGTGTAATATCACATCACAGGATTCTGTATACCAAATTTTGTTGCTTTTGCGTTTATAGCCTCTGATATCTAGGCGTTAGAAAGGACGGACGGACGGAAAGAATAGAATATTTATACATTATGGGATCGGAAACGCATCCTTCTGTCTTTTGCATATCTCTACAGTCTAGAGTCTACACGAATCTAATACAATCCTATACTCTCTGAGTACTAGAAATAAATAGTCACGTACCTGAATCACTAGGAAAAATGTAGATTCAAAAACTGAAAAGCGTTTTGGTACGCTTCGAAAACGGACAAAATGTCTTAAACTCTTGTAATGTGTGTGAATATACACAGTTAACAGTATGCATGCATATTTGGAAGATACGGAAGATCTGCCAGTCCGTATGTGTGTTTATTCACTTCCTTCGGGAATCAATTAGACATAATACTGCGAAAAAAAAGATTCGTTTACGGACCGCCATCGATAGAGTTTTTTTACCAGATGAAAATACTTAAATACGAAGTTATAGCTATATGTAGGAAATTATATCCGTTTGAACTAAGTTGGCAAACCATAAGTCCGGTCCCACTGTTTTACATACATCTTTCACACCTTTCAGTATATGGTTCCAAACGTTTTTATTTGGCTCCATACCGTCCGTGAACGCTTGCTTTTATAGCAACACATCAACTAAACAAAAACTATGAATACTGCAAAATGAAAACCTTTGTTTTTTTGTCTCGTAAGAGGGAAAAATTTACTTTTATGTAATACCCCGTGCTCAAAGAGGTCAGGTGTATATTAAATCCGTGTAAGTGTATGTAATTTTCATTAATCTATGTTGTTTTATAACACAATAATTATTGTACTGCCAATTTGTAATGCTTTTATTTGTACAACTTTTTTGTTTACTTTTTATTGCAAAATTACAAATATTTAAGGCCATAAGCCTTAAAGCGGTTACAAAAACACGCTTACCTTCTTTCAATAACAAGTTATAAGTAAACTGTAAGGAAACTGATAAAAAAAAGTCGCTTAAGTGGGGATATTTGACTGAAATGGTAAACTTAACTTTTTATCGGGGACTTCAAAAAATGTTTCCATTTTATAGAAAATAGATAATGTGTTGTAGGTGTATTTCTCAACGCCGAAAACGATTCGATTAGATTCCAGGAGTTAGTCTGTTGCTCGCATAATATTGAAATTGTGTAAACTTTGGCATGGGAGCATTTTTTAAATAAATAATTATTTACATTTCAAATAAAATTGAATTTTGACCAACACCGAGGGTTACCTGCATTTTGACATCAATATAATCCAATCAATAGACTCTTCCTCTTACCGTTAGTAACATATGCACATATGTAAGTATTAAGTTACACGAATATTAGTCACATATGTATATACGGATTTATTTTGAACAGGGATAAGTCCAATTATTACCCGGCCTTCAATTCAAATCTATATTTAATAAGGTTTCTCATTCTACATAAAACTTGAGGTTGTCGTTGCTGCTTCCGGAGTGGTTATGGTCCGTCGACATAGTCCCGAACGCCAACATTAATGCGGCCCTCTGCAGCGGTTACCGAAAAACCGAGAATGCGTGCGTCCATCTTAGTCATTTTGTTCTTCTTGACCTTCTTCTGCTTGTTCTGTAGACGGAACGTTGTCAACGACATAAGGTAGTCTGTAATAATTGTACCAACCTTGCTTTCGGTATTATCGTTTCCTGATGGTGTTATAGCCGGAGCGGGCTTGCACATATCATCATTGTGCGCGTTTTGAGCACGCTGCAAGCTCTTGTATTTACTGCGCCGCTCCAGAAATTGTTTGGCAAAGTCGGAAGAATCTTTTCCCTCGCCTGGAATTTTTTGTTTATATTAGACCGAATTTGACGGGTTTTTAATTCAAATATTAATTTTACTTTCATTTAAAAGAACAACTAATTAAAATATAATTTAATAATAATTCTGAAAAAAATATATACCGCTATGCTCAGTTGTTCGTACATTTTTGCGATTGCGATTTTGGAACAATTCGTAAGAATTGAAATTGTGTGTGCGCTGGGCTGGTTTTCGTAACTTTTTCGTATCAATAGTGATTCTTTCCCAAATTGTTTTGCGATATTTTTCTTGAAAAAATCTTTTTTTGGTTTTGAAATGGAAATATTTTAGTTAAATATGCCATAGTTTTGGCAATCGCATTATATTATACCAAAACAAAACCAAAAATCGGAGAATTAAGAACGGACGACATTTTTGCCCTGGCCGATATGATATCGATATTTTATGTCAAATGGGAATTCACACTTATTTGTTCAGGTTAAATTAAGGGGCATTTAGAAATAAATTTATTAAATATATTAGGATATACGAAAATTTAATTATATACATATAAACATATGAAGATCAGCAGAATTGTTTATATTTTTTTCCCGCTCATACAATTTTTTATTTATTTGCTAAGTGCAATTCATTTTTAAATCGCGAGCTCATTAGCAGCAACCGGTTTCAAATCGTAAAAATCTTGCGATTTACGAAAACCGGAGCACGCTTTTTTGCGATTTGACTGTCAAATCGTAACTTTTTGCGATAACCGGAGCATGACTGATAAAATGATTTTGCCAACCTAATTTTCGCTGCATGCAAATTGGCCAAGTGGCATCAATAAAGATCAAGTGTCTTTTGTTATCGCTGATCGTAAAAGGGACAAATTGTTTTGCTGGATTAATGCATGGAGGAGGGGATCTCTCCGCGATCTCTCTCAATTTTACTCGCACTTTCCATGAGAGGGAACGACGACCGCTAGTTATGTTCTAATGTAAATTCTTGCTGTTGTAGCGTAGCCACTGAAAATAGATTTGTTCCTTCTGGCTATAATAATGATCTATATCGACTTGGCTATTGATGCTTATCAAAAAAATATATATTTTTATGGGGGCGGAAAAGTTTTACACTCGTCCACACCCCAGAACTAATATATCCGGGTATACGAAGAAGGATATTTTCAGCTATATAGCTTAAATAGCAAAACAGTCCTCTGCAAAGGTATAACTACGGTATAAAGGTACAACGTGTATAACGTGTTATCAACACGTTAGTTAGTGTTCTTTGAGTCTGATTTCTGCTAGGTATTTGGTAATGGTATTTTCGGAATATATTTTAGCTAAATCTAAAAGTTTGCAAGCTCTTTTCACTTTAGTTTCTGCAAATAAGTGTAGTTATACGTTATATATATATCTCTGGAACGTACCTAGGTATATGCGCACATAGTCCTTCACCTCATATGGTGCCTCCAAGTCCTGCAAGAATGCAACAAACGTGGGTACTGCAAATATGAGAAAAATGTTAAGATTTAGTGATAAACTTCTTGCTGAAAATATCTATTTACCATCCACTTTGGCGGTCATATTGTCTAGGCTTCTCATGCACCAGCTAGTAAACTCGTTTTCATATTCGTTTACTTTATTACTGGCCTGGTCTATAGGCCCCTTGCCACTCGATTTTCTTTCCTTGTCCTTTTCTTCAGCCGCCGTAGGTGCCACTTTCGGACTCGCCCTTATATGAATCGTTTTGTTCTTCTCAGGAAGCTGTTGTGGTCCGCCAACAGCCTTGGTCGTTTTTGCCACGTTTTGCATGGTCGGCACGGTCTGACTCTTACGCAAATTTCGTGGTGATTCCAAAGCAGTTGTCGACTTGGACTGTGCGTTTAAGTTATGTTTTTCCGCCGAAAGCAGACCTGCGGCTAGAACAGCCGCAGCAGTGACTGGTCCAGTAGCACTGGCACTGCCAGACGGTTGCAAAACTATTTGATTGACCGACGGGGAATTGGGATCATCCCATAGACGAGCGCCTGTAGCCAATGAAAGCGAAGAAGACGTCGATGCACTCCAAGCCTTATTGGCAGTTCCCCAGATGTTGGACAGGCCACACGTCCCACCCACATTTGTTGCAATGGCAGCCTGTTGCTGTTGCTCTATTTCGCGACGCCGCTGCTGTTCCATGAGCTCATTTGCCAGCCGCTTGGCCTCCTCTGCCTGAATATCAGCTAGGCTCATTACGGTCGCTGGAGCGGGTGCTGCCTGCCACTTAAGCAGAGCATCGTTCGCCTCGGCCGCAGCTGCTGCAGTGGCACGCATTTGTTTATCCAACTGTTCCTGCTGTCGCTGCTGATCCGCGCGGCGTTCTCGCCTTTCTGCCTTCTGTATCTCTGCCAGTCCAGGCGCGGCGCTACTGGCTTTCGGCGATCGAAGCGACCATGGCGCAATTGATGTGGCAGCCGAACGAGAAGCTGCTTGTAGATCCGCCGCCTTGGCAACGCCATGCTTGGTGCTCGCTGCAGATACGGCTGTTCCTAGACAAAAAAATTTATAAATCTAGACAAAATGCTCTATAAATGTATATAAGTAGGTTTAAAGGAGCAATGTTCCGCAAAATGTGTGCCGCGGCAATCTGGAGTACCGAGATCATAAGTTGATGAGCCACGATACAAAGTCATGGTTTTTTTAAGATAATAAACCGAAATATATCTGAGAGCTCATCCACGTGGCGGGCCTGCGTTCGCAATAACCATAAAGTATATATGTAGATGTGTCATACAACGAATATGTCGCAGACGAATTTTTTGGTTTGGCTCCCAAGTCTTCGGCTTTGGCGTTCAGCTCGTGCCGCGTCATCATGAGACAGCCAGCCGCTTTGTGGGCTTCACATATCCTTTACTTTAGAATTTTTGGTAAAAGTTCGATATACGGGCCTATGCTCCTAAAATCGCGAAAAAAAAAATCCCTCGATGGACCGCGATTTATCAAGATATACGTGCAGAAACTTTTTGGCGGTTGGACATTGTTCTTTTTTAATTGAATTTCAACGTTTCATTTTTGCCCTTACAAAATGTAAACATAATCAGGTGTGGTTTTGAATAAAATGTCACTATTTGCACACTTTTTTATGTGAGTTTTGACATTGAAGACTAACTTTTGTGTAAGTTTTTAACTGTCGTATAGGCTTCTCAGACTGGGACTTGCTTCTTTGCGTCTTGCTGGAGACGCGGTTGTTATACCCGTACTCAAAAAAGTGTTAAGGGGTATATTGTATTTGTGGTAAAAGTGGATGTGTGCAACGCAGAGAAGGAAACGTTTCCGACCCCATAAAGTATATATATTCTTGATCAGCATTAATAGCCGAGTCGATATACCCATGTCCGTCTGTCCGTCTGATGAGCGCCTAGATCTGAGAGACTATAAGAGCTAGAGCAACCAAACTTTGTTTCCAGACTCATGTAATATCTGCTACAAGTGTATTTTGAAGGGATTTTTTGCCCCCTTCCGCGCCCACAAAGGACGAAAATCTGTGCCAGGCACAATTTTGAAGATACGATAAAACTATCATTATTATACCCAGGATGAAGAAATTAATTTTCAGTTTCTTCCCCCGCCATCATCAGCAAGAGACCCGCTACTCATACTCTTTCTCGCTCGCACACTCTGCCGCGTTCAGTGCGCTAGCGCCCTCTAGCGAAAAAGATGTATAATCTAAATGGTACATGTAGGATCTACATGTTAGATGTAGAATATGCATTGTAGATGTATATAACAGATGTAGCAAAATAAATGTCGCGTGGTGGAAAAAGTTGAGTCGCTTTTGGATTCCAAATAATCGATTGCTTTTGCGCTTAACAGCACATTCTGCCTATCAGCGCAACTGTCACTACTAATAACAAAAAAAACATGTAAATCAAAAATCAAATTTCGGCTCAAACATGTTATGGTTGTGGGATTATAGGGCGACACCCCAAACTATTTTATATAATATAGAGCTATATTACACACCTGTTGCTGTACCTTGAACTGGTGCTTGTGCGCTACCTAGTAAGGCCTTTCGACGCTGACCTTGTATTTGCAGTTGTCGTTCCCTTTCTTCCAGCGATTGTCGAGTTTTTTCTTCTTCAAGCTGCAAGGCACGGCGTTTCTCCTCTTCCAGTTGTTGACGCTTGCGCTCCTCCTTGAGTCGCCGCTTTTCCTCAGCTATCTCGCGCCGCCGCTCTTCCTCATTAATGAACTTAGTCGGTGCCGACAGCTGGGGCGATCTGGCAGCCAAGTTTTGCTTATTAGTTTGTTTGATATGTGCCAGAGGCTGTGATGGATGTTGATCCTTGAGTGGCTCCACATCCGCAATCACTGTCTGTGCTGGCATTGGACTGAGCAACTTCTTTAGATGATTGTTTTGATTGTCAGTAGCCTGGGACCGATCGCCCAAGTTATCCACTGATGGAGAGTCAGGGGCTGCTGATGCAGTTGCACCAGCACCTGGAGCTTGCTCTGCACCTGCCATGAATTTCTGTTGCTGCTGTTGAGCTAGTAATTGCTGCTGCTGTTGCTGTTGGCTCTGCTCCTCTTCCAAAGTTGCCACGTCCCACAAGGTGACCTTTGCGTTTGCCATTCCAGACCACTGCGGGTTTTGGTTGGGGTTTGGTGGTTGAGCAGGCAGCCACATTGGAATCATCAGGTTTTGCGCTGCCAGCATTCGTGGCTCAGTCATGAAATCCCCACCAGTGGGATTGTCACTGCCAAGAGTTGTTAGCGGAGGCTGCGGATGCCCAACGGTGGGCTGTCCTCGCAGCAACATACGCAAATTGTATTCGGTTAGTAAATCCATATCGCTGCCATGCATTTCGTCAATGTTATTCGGCTCAGCTGCCGATCCAGGCAGAGCTACCTGTTCCGCAGGTTGCTGCGACGGATGCGAAGCAGTCTGAACCTGCTGGGTTTGCTGATGCATCAGTTTGGCGTTGTGTATGAAGTTGTTTGCTTCCAGAAGATTGCCCAGGGGCCGCTGCTGGTCTGAGCTTTTGGCAAAAAGCTGCTGCTGATCCTTTTTACCCTGCTCAGCTATCACATGGTACAACTGGCTCCCGGCTGCCGGATTAAGTACAGCCAGCGAGTTACTCAGCCCGCTCAGGCTGCTCAAGTACTCTGGCAGAACGAGCAACTGAACCTTGCGCCGCACTACAGATTCCCGCTCAACAGCAGAGAGGCGCTGAAAGCACTCGTTTTTGGACAGCTCCTTGACTATCTGGTACTCTTGGTGCTGCAAGTACTGATCTTGCAGCATCTGGAATCGCATGGTCAGCATATGGGATGTGGCGTCCAAGGCATTTCCGCCCAGATTTCCTTTAATGGCGGCGCTCAGCGAGTCTGCGGCGGTGGTCACATTCGCTTTGAGCTCTTCTCTTTGCATTTGTTGCTGCAATTGCTGTTCGCCCAAAGAGATTGAGAGCGCAGCTGACGATGGCTTGCGCGGCGTAAGTGGAAGTGGAACTGGAAGAGCGGCTGGCATCTGTCCAATGGGAAGATTGTCTAAATCCATCGGTGAAGGCAGCAAATGGCTGTGCGAGAATGGCATGTTACCGTGGCAAAGCTTTATTAGCTCGCCCAGTGGCCTGAATCTACTGTCGGAGAAGCGGCGCACAAACAGATTTTCATTGAAGTAGCCGGCCCGATACCATTCCGTCATCTCCATGGCACTGAACGGCCCCTGAACATTCGACTGAGGATCGCGGTAGAACCACAACTCATTCGGATTCGGATTCGAATTCATTATCTGCGATGTAGGAAGCATTGTCAGATGCTGTTGGTGCTGGTGGTGCAGATGGTGGTGATGTTGCATAGCCAACTGGTCCGGAAAAGGTAGACTCGGATGTTGATGCGATGGACGATGGGCAATGCTTGTATTCTGTACTGCAATAGGTATCGCGGGATGCGGAGGATGAGGATGCGGATGCTGAAGCAGAACAGTGTCGCCCACAGTGTTCGACTTAATGCTCATTTCAATCTCTGCTAGACCAGGCATTGTAGTTGCGAACCGGTCGCTATCTATTTGTGGTTCTCTATGATTTTGGGAGACACTGTTATCATCGTCCATTATCAGTTTCTCAACCTCATCGGCCACTTCTTTGATTCTATCCGATATATCCCCGTGGACAGCTTCACCAATTGAGGCTGTTGGAGACTGTTGGCAGCTTTCATTCAAGTCGGGGAATTTTATTGGGTTCGATTCTATCTTCCCGTCAAACTCCTTTTCGCCTGCATCATTCTCTCCGTCAGTGTGATTCCTGCTCCCAGTCTGAGGTAAGTTGTTATTAGAGCTTGAAGCCGCAGAGTTTACCGCATCAGTGGAGTCCCTTTGCCCAGCTGCTGCCTTAGCTGCCTTCTGTAGATCGGCATCTCCGTGAAAGGCGCCACTCGAATCAAAGGTGCCACCCAATTCGGATGGATTCTCCATAGCCCACTCGGGAAGATTGTCCTCGGTATCACCGCCGCCGCCAGACCACAATTGAGAGTTTTTAGCGCCCGATTGACGGACAGAAGAAGAAACCACTCCCGATCCTGTCTTACCGCTTCCTCCCCGCTCACGGTCAACGTCTACAGTCCCAACGGTCGAAATAGAACGCTGTATACTGGCCAAACCATCCAAGTGGGAGTCCTCGTCGCGCCAACTGGTAGATCGACCTGAAATGTAGGTTAAAGTGTTAGCGACATTCGTGGCAAATATGAACAACAAGCGTAGGTACATGTATATATACTCTTGCTGGGTACCCCACCAACTAAAATATATATTTTTGCTTTCTTGTGTATTCCTGACCGACCTCCTACTCTCCCAGTCAATAAATGCACATAGCCCAAGAAAATATAATTAAAATTCATGCACATAAATAAACTACAAGTTGTCGAAGTGCATTGGAAGTCATTTGATCCATTACATCATTTTACTACAACAAATGCAATTGCCATTAAAATGAAATTGAAACAGCGATTGAAGGACGAGCTATTACATTTCTAAAGACCTTCCAGCTATTCAATAATATTAATGAACAATCTATTTGCTGGAAAACACCCGCGCTAAATCCCTACCAATCAATGTACTTCTTGACAGCAACAAAAAACTTTCCATAGCGTAAAAAGCGTTTTAAACAACTGGAAAAATTATATTTCCCTCTGTAATCGTATGAAAAGGATATATATTATAGATATAGAAACTGATAACTGACCCCAGCGTTGCGTGTTAGCCCCAAAGCTAGAATTGGTACTTCCTCCTCCAGCACTGCTTCTCCATCCGGCAACATCCGATCCAGATAGGTTGTTGCTTGCAATCGGGCAGTCTCCAGATCCATCTTCGTTTCGGCTGCGGCGCCAGTTTTCCATGTTGCGATGATGACTGGAGAACTCTTTTCTGGGACTCGAACTTGGTGTACCGTTCCAGTCCAGGCCCCCCGAATTACCCAGTGCTGTGCTAACAGGCACTGCATCACCAGTTCCATTTCGCTCGTTCCAGTTTCGTTCGGTCTATGAAGAATGATCATGTACTCGTACAGCCTCGGACTCGACACCTCGCAAATAAATCTGCACCATTCGCTTACCTTGATGGACATAGCTGACAGACCTTCATCGTATAGACCGCCAGGGCGCTGATATATCGGATGATAAACTGATTTTCCACGCATTCGGCCCCGATCGACTGTTCCACCACGTCCAGTGCCACGCGGAGCTGTTCCAAATCCGCCCGTTGAGCGTTGCAACCAGGCCGGCCGAGACTGCTGGCAGGATCAATCAAGATAACATAGTAACGGGAACGCGAAAGGTTGCACTTACGCTACTCCCAATTTGATTATTGTCCTCTTCAGTGCTGGGCGTCAGGGCAAGCGGATACTGAACCTTGTCCACAAAAAGTTTCTTAAACGAAGGTAAAATCTGGGGCAACAAACAGTGCCGATCAAACAGAGACAGCATTTCCTCACGTCCATATCGGTACTCTGGAAACATGTTGCGAGAGGAAGCTGCAGCTGCTGGTGTCGTGTTGTTTGCAAGGCTGTGCGTTGCCAGCGAGCTGTTGGCTCCTACGCCAACGTTATTGCTACTGGAAGATCCTGAAGGCTCCGCCGACATATTGCGCAACCATTCTGGACCAAACTTCATAGAATCTGTCATTTTCAGTAGCCTCTTGTTTCCTTTATATTTTGCAGAAGCTAAGAGGATATGAGAATAAATAAAATTGAGTTCAAATTTGACAAGCAAATCATGTGAAAATAAATATGTTTATCTGTATATTAAATGACTTGCTAAATGACTTGAATAAATAAACTTTAATTACACTTTGGAATGGTTACAATTGCTACAAAATATTTTATTAACTGAACTTCGTATAAACATTTAAAATCCACTTATTCATTATATTAGTCAGGTCATTATACATCAAATATCAATTTCGATATGTTGATCAGATTGCAATGCGTATGTGTGTATGCAAACAAGAGAATCTATTATCGAATTAAAAGAGGAAAATAACAAATAAATAGTTCAAAGCAACGCAACCTAACCTAAAAAGGCAACTTAAGACTCGCATACAAACGTAAAATTGAAAAAAAAGTCACACATGCACACAAATTTTACATTAAATACGTATATATGTAATATTTCAGCATGTGTTTTCCCATACTCCAATTCTAGCCCCAGTCATCTACACAAAATGATTAGTTGTAGCATATGCATGCAAACATAAAATGGATATCACTGTAAGACACGAAGCCAAGTAATATTTCAAAGAAATCAGCTCAAATTAGGCAGTCAACATACACGTATATCAGTACGTATGTACGTATACGTACATATGTAGGCATACGCAACATGCATTGCATTGATAATTATTGAAGATAATATAAAGAGAATACTTTTCTACGTAATGCTCAAATAATTCCGACTTTCTGATATAACGAAAAATAACACTAGGCGGCCCGAATTAATTTCTAAGGATTTTACTTACACACGAAACCAACGTATTTGCAATAAAATACCAATACCAAGAAACAACCTTAGTGTGACCGATTACCAAGCGTGCCAAAACCCCGAATATCCATTCAAACGTATTCTAAGCTAAACTGCTATGAAAACTAATAACATACACTGACTACACTACTCGCAGATTGAATATTTTATATAAAGTCAACTAAAAATTCTTTTAAACGGAAAAGAAGGATATTTTTCTGTCGCTTTATGATACAGTAGAGACTGATTACTCTCGCCACCTTGTATTTTTTTAGTATTGGTGTCCCATCAAAGGTATTCCTGAATGCGAGGTGGTTGTGCATAAATAAAATGTGTAACTTTATTAAGCCTAGTACTCAGATCGAAAAACTGTTTGCTAGCAAACAGATGTCATATATTTTTCGAGCGACCAGTGGTGTGACCAGAGGGGTGCACTGCATTCCGAACGGTTACACTGCTCAGACAGCTGCTTGGTTTTGTTTAAAGTTAACAAAATGCACTTCATCGGCTGGGGCCGCTCTTCCCCAGGCATATCCTGGGCTCCCCAATATTTTATTGGCAAGGTAATGAGTCTGACTATCAGCAGCAGCAGATGGCGACGCCACCCGTGCCGACCACCGTGAAGACAAACTGTTTTGAAGGCAATATTTGTTTTATATTTATGAAAATTAATAAAAATATTATATTATAATATCCATATAATTGTCCTTTATATAATGCTGCATTAATTAAATTCTATTCGTCTTCATTATTAAAATATTTCATTTGGTTTTTTGTTCTCTTGCAATGTTTGCTTCGTGTTTGCTGGCAAAAGATATCAAATTGATATCTTTTTCAAGGTGGGTCGAAACATACCAAAAAAACAAGCAAAAGTATCCGAATCCAGTATATACCGACCTTTTTTTTTGTTGATCTGAGTACTCAGTACTGCCTTCCGTACAGAGGCTAGAAAACAGTTTTTGGCGTACAAAATTTCTTATCGGTTTCATACGAATATCAACCGTGATCTCCGTATCCATGGAATACCGTTAGAAGAAGGTGAAATGTTAAAGACCATGTTAAACAAAATGTGCTTTGCCCTTAACATAACACCCCCTCCCAGGATAAAAGACATTTTTAGGATCAGTCAGAGAAATCAGGAAACAGCTGTTGATCCAGTGATTATCCTGCGACTAGAGAGTGTGAGAGAGAAGGGCGCCGCCTTCTTGTTACAAGCTTTTGGCAACTATCGGCTGTTTTTACTCGTCGGGCGATCGTGCATGTTAAGAAGCATCAAACTGGAGAGATTTTTAAAGTTGAGAACGTGCATGTTCTAAAATTATTACGATAAAATTTTGCAACGAGTTATAGTAATAAAATAATGTTAAAGTTTAAGGTTATATATTTTTATGCTGTGGTAGGTGATTTGTATATGTTGCGTGTGCTGCTAATATGTTCTTTTGATATGGTATCTTTTAAATGGTTCATTATTTTAATTGACTTCCAACGAATAACAGGATAATGATCCGTTCACTGGCAAAACAAAAATATGGCACAAGTATTTGTCATATAATATTTTTTGATGTGGTTTGTATGTCAGAAACCTGGTTGATGCCGCATTTTTGTGATAATGTCATTTTGTGCAATGGATTTGATCTATACCGATCTGATCGTGAAGGAAATGGTGGGTGTGTATCTTACCCGTAATCAGTCAGTATATAAATTTGTGAGCTTATGATTTATGTAGAATTTAAAAATATTTTACATATTTTTGCTACACAATGTCGATTACACATATAAAATGTAGATTCTACATACACAATGTAGATTCTACATCTTCTCCGCAAAAGTGGCGTAGTGCATAGTGCAGAGTGTTAGTGAGCGAGAAAGGAGTAGCTTGGTCTCGTGCTGGAAGAGGGGGAAGCAACTGAAAATTAATTTCTTTATTCTGGCTATATTAATGATCCAATCTGATTCAGATTCGGCAATCTGGTAGATATGGTCATTCTATACGATACTGCGTATTTAGTTTTATCGTATCTTTAAAATTGTGCGAAATTTTGAAATATACTTGTAGCACTATAATATCACATGAGTCTGGAAACAAAATTTGGTTGCTCAGGCTCTTATAGTCTCTGAAAACTAGGCGCTCATCAGGACGGGCAGATAGACGGACAGATAGAGACTCGGCTATAGATGCTGCTCAAGAATATATGTACTTTATGGGGTCGGAAACGTTTCCTTCTCTAAGTTACACACATCCACTTTTACCACAAATACAATATACACCTTAACTCTTTGAGTGCGGGTATACAACTAGGAACAAACAATAAAAAAATAAGGATACACAATATAGCAAAGTGGAAGAAACATAAAAAATAATACAAATCTTCAGTTTTGGCAGGCTATATCTTCACCATATCTTCTCGTCCAAAGTACATTCAGGAGTTTCCATTTTGTTGCTCAGTATAACAGGAAGAAGTTAATGAACATTTTTTTTTTAAATGTTTTTTTTTGGCGAAACTGCTTATATCCATAACATGTTTTTTTTTACAAAATTTTACGTGCTTGCATATAAAACAGATGTATGCACTTCATTGAGTTGAGTTTTTTAAAGTTTTTTGCATCGGCGAGCGTTGAGTACCAATGTGTATCGTTTTCGAGCAAATTCAAAATCTGTATCTCTAATGTTCACCAAAAGCAAGGGAAGATAGAAGAATTCGTCTTGTCGTGGATTAACTTTGTATATTCGTCCGAGGGCATCATTCCAATGGACATCAGCGAAGCCAGCATCACATCTCTTCCGGCGTTGAAACCGCTTTGTGCAATTCCCGTTTTGAGTCTGGTGAGTCTGGGTTGTGGAGTTCGCAAAGGCCATGGATCATGTTCGTTGTCACAATGGAATGGAATTTCGCCAGAAATGATCGAATCAATATCTGATCGAATCTTGTCGAACATCCAAAGCAAAATGTGTGCATTTGGCAAACCACGCTTCTGCCATTCAGAAGTACTCGAATCCAATAACGAATTGCGATGCCATAACGATGGCCAAATCTGCCCTGCTGTTCTCAGGTTATAATACATATACATTTTTATATATATAGATTATTTTAGAAGGTTTAGTTTTTATTCCGCTAGATTGGCTGTTTTGCCAGTGTGCCCTGGTGCGTCGCACCGTCCTTCCCCTACGCTACGCCACTGTATATGTAAATTAAGTACATTCCTTATGTACACGTAGTAAAACATACCCTGCTGAATGTTTGCAGGCCAGGCTGTCCGGCTTCGGTGTCACAGTTTCCGAAATCCAGTGTAGTTTAATTGTACACCCCCCTGCCTGGAGCCAGGGCCCTTGTAAGAAAAAGTCGGCGGAGAAACGGTTGGGGGCTATAAATCGTCTGTTATGTGTCGGCTGGATACAGCGACTCCAAGAAGCTATGAAGAATATGTAACACGGAGGACAGGAATAAACTATGCCTGACCTGGCATCCCCCTCACGGTGAATATTAGTCAATTAATCTCGTTTTCCTGGGTTGCTACGCGAATGCGCATAACTCCTTTTGGGAAAATACGGTCCCAACTCTACAGCCGATTGACTATGAATACTGTCGCAGTATTGACAGGTCGCAAATAGAAAGGGTCTTTGTTGATTTTCTGCACTCCTGGGAAGGCGCCACCGAAATATCGTTGGAGAAACGCCTGTTGCGAAAAGCATCAGGATTCTTAACCTGGGGACTTCGACTACGATCGGGTATATGGATTTATCCAGTGGAGTGGAATCCATCCAGTGGAGTGGATTTAACGTAAATTGTTGAAGCAATTTATTAAATTACAAAGTAGGTGTTTATTCCGATGATTAATCGTTAATACCTCTTTTATTACAATAGAAAAAAATAAGTATTCACATGAGCTTGTTGTGCATGTGAACTATCTTTAACAAATATTTCAGAATTACCAATTATATTTATACAGGTACTTATTTACATAAATAGGAATGTGCGTGCGAGTGTATTTTAAATGTACAGATGATTATGAAGCCATTAACAGTTGTTAATACATAGGTATTTATATCAGCAGATTTCCCGCATTTTAATAAATATATAAATATATATATATATATATATATATATATATAGTATAATATATATAATATATAGGTTAGTCCCCCCCCCCCCCCACACAATCACTTTTTGCTTTTGCTTTCGTCTACACCCCCACAACAACAAACAACTTGTTTACATAAACATATTTGGCCATATGGATTTGGGTGGCGGAACGACAGTGAGTGGGGTGGGGCTGCGGAGTCTCTTTGTTACATTTATGTATATACATAAAGTGTACGTGATTGTATGGATGAGTTTTTAGGTTTAAAACAATGCCAGACTGCTGAAATGTTAAGTAAATTTGTTATGTCGCAGAGTAAATAAAAAGCAATATTGTTCTTGTACGATCGTACTATTTCCATTTGTTGCATGTCATTTTTGTGAATTCGATAGATCGTTCCATAGCGGTCACGTCACTTATAATATCATAGCGTTTAGAGAAATATTTATATTTGCATTGTATTTTCTTGCATGTATACTCGTATGCTGTATGTTGGGTTATATTTTCGATTGTTAGGGTAGCTATGCAGGTATGTATAATTATGTTCTGTATATGAAGTCTTAAGAAATTATATGAAACTGTGTAAATTAGTGAAATTATTGTTATAAGGTGTATTTATAGAGATGAATCTTATCCAGTCTGGGCTCTTAAGTACCCATTGTTGGTTCCTGACGTATTTCTGATTTCAGTTTAACAAATTCCTTGGCGACCTCATCATTATTACGCTGTGATAGAATCCGTAATATTGTCCAACCCGTCTCGTCCATTTCTATGCGTCTCTGCAAAGGCAACCAACAGGCGACAGATCCCTAAAAAGTCATAGTAAGGATATTTAATACAATCATTTAGTTATACACATGTCTGTATGTATATTATGGGGAATTATGAATACCTTTTCGGATATGTCTTTGAGCGGGATAACTGCCACGCCGACAAGTCGATCATCACGGGCGAAACAATAGTCCTTAACGCAAATATGCAACTCGAAAAAGTCCAGCTGCTCCTCGTTACCAATGGCGCTAATGTGATAGAAAAGTGATGGACAAGGTGGTTAAACGGATTTAGAAGCGCTTACAAGCTGAATGATTCATTGTATTTGGGCGACCAGTTGTTTGACTTTGACTTGGTTGCAAACTTCCTCTTTTTTTCCTGGAGATGCGGCCCAATCAAGTTGATTTCAACAAATGGTCGGAACATGCCAGATGGTATTTGCCATTTAAGATCATTAGCAGCCACCACTATACGAAAAATACAAATATTTGTGTAAGAATCGTAAAAACATTGAATCTTGCATAGAGCTATTTACCTTTCACATTAACCTTATGTTCACCTGTGCCTGGGTGGGAAAATAGGTCTATTTGTACTGAAATTTCGCCGACACTTTCCTCTGCATTTTCAGGATCAACTACACAATAATAAATCAGTTCAGATATATACATATTTATGTACATATATGTATATAATACGGATTAATACGGATTCGGTTGCAAAATAAGATCATAATAGAACTGCATTTTTTTTATATACTTGTAAAAGAAATTGTTTCAATTAGATTTTGATACTTTCGAAGGAAATGTAATATTTCCTTCCTGTTCGGAGCAGTCGCTGGCAACAAGCTCTTGGCGCTAGCCGTCGCTCTTAAGTGTGCAAGTGCGATATGCTCTCACGCTCATTTTCGTTATCTTCCTCGATTCGTTCGACTGTTCTTTCTGCTCTACAATGTCGCATGAATGTCGCATGATTTTTTCTGACAGCTAAATCAAAGCCCTACTTGATAAAAAAAAACTAAAATTGCGATTTATGGGTTTATGGGTGGTAACATGAAGACCAAGTACTCTACGACCTATGCGCAGACCTACTCAATATACGACAAAAATTTCATGAAAATCGGTCCAGCCGTTTGGGAGGAGTTGAGTCACAAGCATCGTGAAACGAGTTTTTATATATATAGTTAATATATATATGTTCATAACCCTTTGCCGCGAACACATGGCTTGAATTTGTCGCAAATCAAATCGTCGAGAATAGGCCCAGTTTTAAGTTTATACGAATTCGCACTATTACTTATTTTTGTGGAACTAATTCAAGCGGTCGGACAAGCCTGACAGCTAATAAGTAATAAGTAGTTATTTCTCGGAAAAAAGTTTCCTTTAAGAATCAAAATTGTTTGAAATTCCAATAATAATAACGATGACTTACCTTCGTGAACTTGACTGGATATAAAGGTTTTGATAAGTGTGTCGGTCATTTGCGTATACAAACTGAGTGCGTAACGTAGGCTTTGAAGCTCTGAAGATTTCTCAAGAAACGTCTTTTTCAGTCCATTACCACCGGCGTGGAAATATTGTTTTATTGTATCTAAGGCAACGTCGAGTACGGCACATTGTTTGGGCGATAAATTTTTTTCCACTTCCTTTGATATGTCCATGACACCGCTAAGCGCACTTTTCACATCCTGTTTTCCAGCCATATGGGACTTAAACAAACGACCCATATCTTCTATTTTTGCGTTGGATGCAAGGTTTTTTGCATTGTCAGTTAGATGCTTAAACATCATCTAATTGGAAGCAATCTTTTAGAAAAGATTCATTAGAACAGGAATGGGAAGTACTGCTTACAGTTTTATCAGTCATTGGAGGCAAAACAATAGTTTTTTCCAATATTCGCATTACGATTTTCCAGAGTTCTTTCAGCAGTCGTTTTAGTACCGTCTTTTCACATGACTGCGCATAGAGTGTCAATGAACCATCGAGCAAGTCCATAAGCGGCCTCAAAACTTCATCGGCCTCAACGGCGACGGCGTTCCTCTGTGCAGCTTGGTTACCAGCTGTCAGATTCCCACAGCCGCCTCCTTTAATAGACAGCAACATATCACCTAGCTCACGCACCGACTGAGTTATTCGAGGCTCCAAACTGAGAGAGGGGCATTGGGAGAAAAGTAGGCCCAATAAAGTATGTATGTGCATGTACATATGTATGTATGTATATAGGGATCCCATCACTTACCTAATGGCAAACTGTGTGGCCAAATCGTCCAGTGCAGAGTTAAGATTTTGTTGCAGCTCTTTTAGTATATTGGCTGCGTCCTCTTCTAGCTTATCCCCACCCATGGACTCAAACATTTTCTCCAACTGTACCCTCAATTGCTGAATGTTGTTCATAAGTATGCAAGCCTATTTATAGTGTAAGATATGGAAATGAGGGGGAGAGGCAGACAAGCAAACGGCAAAAAAAGTCCGAATCAAGAGCAAATTTATTAAAAATTCCAATCTAATGAGTTTCCTGACTCCAAGAAGCTCGTTAGGTCGTAAATTTTTAGTACTCACGATTCTTTCATCCCTCATATGCTCTGGAAATTCAATTTTCACAATATCTGCATAGGCTATGAGCACTTTTACGATTGTTTTAGCAAAACGCCTCATGTAACGTTTCCAAATTTCTGGATCAGGACACTCGAGCTTGCTAACAACATCGAAACATTGCGTCAATTGCGTGAAAACGTCGACTACCGAATTTGAAAACAAGGCGTGCTCGCTGCTCTTTGTGAACTGTACCATTGGGGCGCAATGAAAATAGTGAGTGGTTTTCGATTAATAAATTAATAATAATTGACAGAAACATACATATATATGTATATATTTAATATTATGATAAGGATAAGCTTGTAGAAGCCTCGGCACGCCGAGGTGTATGAGTTAAGGACTCAATTGAACAAAGTCGGAGTATAGGTCGGTGTGTCAGCCTTCTGTGGGTCAAAAGCATGATGTCCTCTGCCATGGTATACTGCCATGCCTAAGGTCCTTCCCTAGAACATTCGCTTTAATTCGCATGCATTTGCATGCCTTACTACAGCCTCCCATCCCACTGGGCGACTAAGCTTGGACAAAGATGCTTAACAGTCGGGTAACAGTTGGTCGGGTAGAAGCGGACAAAAATATAAACATTTCATAAGTTTGGGATAAGTAAGTAAGTAAGTGCCTTCCGAAGGAGTTCTGGTACATATGACAACGTAAGTAATATAATTTACAAGCTCAATGTATCATACAAAATAAACTTAAGAAAGCTCGCTCCTTGTCCAAGTTAGCCTGTGTATGCTTACCCCGTCCTTTTTATCTCGATTGAACGCTCCGTGAAGGTATTCCAATGAAACATCGTCGTTCTCATTTAACCACTGCATCACAAACGGCTCGAACCATGCTGGGTAGTCGGGTACGGCACCTTTGTAGGGCGGAACTTCCTTAACATAGTTGCTATACAGCCATTTAACGCGAAAATGAAGATTCATGTACGCCGAGGACTTGCAGAGACGATGCTGCTCGTGCTCCTCCAATGCGTACTTCATGTCCACAGCGAATAGATGCCACATTGATGATGCAGACAGCTGAAAATTGTTCATTATAGACAGTCTCGTTTGGCTTGGATGCTGGAAGCTGGAAGCTGGAAAACTGTGGCACCCCCCCGTATATGTGGTTTGTCATCTTACCTGTCCAATATTAAGTTCTTGGGGGAACTGATTTAGCACAGTGCCATAGCTGTTTTTGTCCTCATCGATGACCGATACAATAAGCGCAATTAGCTTGTGCCAGAAGTCCACGCTATCCAGTTTGGGCTCATGGTCGTCTGGTGCACGCTTGGCTTCGTTTGGATCAACCTAGAAGGAACAAAGTGAATAGGTGCGGAAAGCCACAGCCACATGCTAGATGTTGTAAGTCGAGTGGAACTTACCTGGAACTCTCTGTTGTATAGCTCGTAGCAGTTTTCAAACAGGAATTGATAAGTGGATCTTAGACAAGCCTTCACGCAATCTTTGACCACAGTGCTCGCTCTCGGTGGGCTGGATAACTCTTGGACCTGGGGTAAGGGTAATTGCTTTGCATTCGTAGTTTGATATCGAACTAGAATTGAAAAACCTACCTTCATGCGGAAAAATGTTATGCTGGTCAGCAGATCGACAGTAGACTTAAGGTCCATTAACTTTTCAGGACTCGAGGCAGGAAAGTTATTTCTATACATCGACAGGTCAATTCTGAGAGAATTATGTAGTTGGTCCAGCAATTTGACGAATTTCTCTTTCTGAAATGAGCGAAACGAACGAAACGAATATAGTCTGGCTTCGATATGTACTACTAACAAGTATATACGCATGTATGTAAGTACCCCAAAATTGCTAGCTGCAAACCGATCACTAGCTGACACAGCAGAGGAAGCTGTGGTATGAGCGTAGTACGCGTTGATGTTGGCCAAAAGAGTGCTCATCACGGCGGGTACCCCAGGGCATAGATACTTGGCAGAAAGGCAATGGAAATGAGTCATTCCTTGATAGATATTTTCGATCCCGTAGCGCATTGAAAACTCGTCGACAATTTCTTCGGGGATCTCGTCAAAATAGAGTTTCCACGCATCGTCACCCTTTTGCGTGGGCAATTTAACCTATATATGTACACACAACGATAAGTTAATATATGTATGCATGTATGTATGTATGTATGTATGTATGTTTGTACGTATGTATGTAGGTAACTTACCATTCCGGTATTCTCTTCACAAAGATAATGAAACAGGTTCTCGTGCAGACAGGTGTATTGGACATGATATGGAGCAACCTTTTCTTCGCCCTTTATTTCAACGGATATGTGAAGTCTTATTGCACCTGAAACAGCTGATTTATCCGTTCGTTTCTCTAAATTATACCAAACATCCATTTCCCCGGAGAGCGTACGAACTTCAATAATAGTTTGTCCCAAAAAATCGTCCGATTCTCGAGTCAACTTTTGACGAAGTTTCGATTTAAGGTCATTGTCTTCATCCCAGACGCGAACTTTAATGCGGTCAGAGGAGTTATGGCACTCGCTGCATATCCATCCAATCAACAATTTTTACATCATCAGCATAATAACAATCAATAACATTATTCTACGATCGAACGCAGTAAGACATGCACATGTACGTGTACTCTGTACTCTGTACATTGCAGTTGATATTAAAGTACGAGTATTAGTATTATTGAGCTGAAACACTAAAACCAATTTCTAAACCTAACAAAAATCCATCCGGTTCATGGACATGGACTTGGTTCAGATCACTATTATTGACTATTATATTACTTATATTGTTATTATTATTTTGACTTATTTGTCATTTACCATTTACATACATTATTTAATGGATCTATTTACTGAGTAGGGCAAAATTGGTTTTATTTACGGCGTACATGCGTATTTAGTGTCTCAGCTCGGTGCATTGCATTTCTTTTAGGTGCATACATACATAGCTTATCAAAAGGAAAGGGATGAAACCATTTCGCGGATAATAGAAAGACCAAATTAAAAGATTCATCCGAAAGAGAAATAGTGATAGAGAAAGAGATAACCATTCTACAGTGACAGTGACAGTAGACAGTACAGTACAGTACAGTACAGTACAGTACAGTACAGTACAGTACAGTACAGTCCAGTAAATAAGTATATTTTTACATATAGAAATCGTATGCGGACACATTAGCCAGACACTTTGTTCCCAGCTGATGTAGCTGCAGCTGCAGCCAAAACAGAAATGGAATGTCTGCGAAAAGGTGAAGAGTGTTTTCATACGAATCCTCGAACTATAGATCTGATTCTTCCTTCATTTTCAAACAGGTGTGTGTACCTATTTTGAAGTAAATCGGATCGATACGAGCATACGTATATTAAGGGCCGGTTTCTCGGCTTCCGGTTACGGTACCGGTTAGTTGGCCAGCTAACAATCGGAACGAAAAAGAATAAAAGGGCGCTTTTAGGCGCACAAATGTCCTAGTCGATCTCGTAGAGAGCAAACAGAAACATATTAGAGAATAAGAAGAGGGATGCAGTCACATGGAAAGAGAAAACGGAAGCGAGGAATCGAATTTGCTGCCGAGAAGCGGAAAAGAGATCGCAACATAGTCCGCTCTTTCCTTAAAAATCCTTTCACTATTAAATTTGACTTCATCTTCAAACTCGGGTTCTCTCTGCAAGTTTACAGAACTCTTATCTTATTCATTTTTAATTATATTTGGCCAAAAAGAAAGGGAACTTCTGCTTGACCAGTGCTGCTGAGATCAGCCGAAAGCCGGTTGGAAGTCAACCCTCGCATGAGCCGAAATTGTTCGCTATCGGATACCTTAACGTTCCGATTAGTGTTAGCCCGAAGTCGAGAAACCGGACTTATATATATTACAATCCTCTCGAAATTATTGAAAATCAGCATCAGCTATTTAGGATTATGCCATAAGCAGTGGTACCAAACATAGATACATAGAATTGTATTTATATAATATCGAATTTAGTGGGTCTAGATAGACTAACTGAAAACTGAAGTATAGATACATATATAGGTAATAGGTATATAGAAGGAGCGTAAAGTCAAGCAAGCCGTAGTGTGCGATTATTGTTAACTTGATTTATGAGAAATAGCACATGGTTCAATAAGTCCCCGGTAAGTCCCCCCAACTAGATTTCAAATTAATTAGAAGGTACAACCTTCTATAAGTTATGGCTAAAAAGTGGCTCTTGCCAAGGAAAATAAACAAAATTAGAGAAAACACTCACAAAATACATACATCCATATGCACAAAATCATCGAAAATTAAAAGTGCCTCAGATATGTAGAAGAGACTACAAAGACTACAAAGACTACAAGCCAACAAGATCATTTCGGCGCACAAAAGGTACGCTGCGTACCTCTTTTGGTGTCTCTTAGGACAACGCGGCAAGGTCGAAAGTTCATTGCTTATTCAACAACGGATAAATGAAAGAACTTAAGTTCCATTTGTTTGTTATCTATACTGCTTATATGTACTATATTTTCATGATTGAGTTTCCAACTAGCATTAACAGTTGATAAAATTACAAAAAAATTCCCCAACTGCTGCGTCTGAAGATGTTTATTTTTTTTGGGAGCAGGAGCACTGCAAAACCTTTCTGTTTCACGCAGGGGACTTATTGAACCATGTGGCGCGCATTGTAACGTATACTTATTGGATAAAGATAAAGGAATCTTGGGGACAAGTACTCACAAGTGAAACTTCTCGTTCCACACAGGGTTAAGTTCCTGCGGCATTGTTCGCGTTCGTTTTTTCACCTTGCTAACCTGCACCGTCACATATGGATCACTGGTACCGCTTTTATCCTTCGCTATCAGGCCTTGAGCACAAATCACTGCATCATATCAGGTCAAATAAGTATATACATATATGGCAATTCGTTCGTTTCCAACACCACATTCCACAAATTTCCCACAATTTCGGGTGTTTGTTAATCCGATTTTGGACCGATTTGATTTGACATTAGAATGTTCCAGGTAATATGTAGAATACATTTTTTTTGTTTTGGTTAGTACATGTGTTGATGGGTTGATTGTAATTTAGATTTTTGTTTTTTTTTTTGTATTTTGGTTGATTGCGAAATTTCGATGATATTGAGGTAGTAATTTGGGTTTTCAATAATTTGTAATAATTTGTTGGGGTTTGAAACGAAGAAAATCGTTTTGAGATTTATGTGCATTATGTGCATTTGAAAATTGATTTCCAATGTTTTTTTTTCAGTGTTCAGTATTGATTTTCAAGGGAGAAAGAAGAAGAGAAAAAAACGGAAGTTTTTAAATACATATACGATTTAATAAAATCAGATCAGATCAGATCAGCAGTAAGAATGCCGTGCTGCTGACCCCACTGTATTTGTATATGTACATATGTGCATGTACCTACATTAGGTTCCATCAGTTAATATAAGTATATACAAATATGTACACAGGGTTACTAGTCAGTGAGATGCAAGTGACAACGGTATAGTATAGTGTTTGTGGAATATACTGATCACAATAAAACATTTACATTTAGTTCTGTACATTAGTACTATACATACATACATACATACATACATACATATATGCAAAGTAAATATAAAGTCCAAAACGATGTACATACTCGTAGTATATGTAGAATAGAAAGTGTTTGTCATCAACTACATATGTACAGCGTGTGTGTGTGTGTGCATATGTACATATGCACATACATACCTACTATACACACAAATATGCCAACAAACGGATAGACCAAGTGAGAGTGAGCTAATTGGTTCTTAATTTGTTTTCCATATTAAGCATGTACATATGTATGTACATATTTGCATAATTACATATGTACACTGTACATACATACTCGTACGATTGGTTTGTTATAGTGCAAGGATCAGGCAGGATAATTAATATTACTTAAAACTTAAAAAACTACGACCGCAGTCCCTGATCCGCCCTTTCACGAACACTGAAAACTCGCATGAAAAGTCAGCGTCCGTTTATCGTTTTGCTTGAAAGTGAAAACTTGTAAATGAAGAATTATTCCGCAAGAGCAAAGACTATACGATCCAATATTGTATGGTCTTTGGGGAAAGCTAAGACAGTGCATATTCGTATGATAAGTAGAGTGGAAGAGCGCCAAAAAGATGTTATCTTTTGCTAATCGGATATACTCGTATTTGCTAGTTAAACTGGGCAAGAACAAAGATAATCTCCACATCAAATAGCTCCCGATTGTAAAATTTACATTTGTACCCAATTCGTAGGCATAGGCAGGATCTCAATGAAAATCTTAATGTAAAGCATTGTTTCTAGTCTCTATGCACATATGTATGTATAAAGCATACATGGTACATAGATATATTATAGCCACACTGCGAAATTGATCGTATGGGAGTCTGCACCTACCTACTTCCTACGATCTTTATGATTCTGGACTTAGGGGTCACTGATATGGTGGGGAGTGGCAAAAATGTGAATGCACTCAGCCAAATAAGACCCAATCGGATCACTATGTCACAGGGCTTTCAACAGAACGGTCGAACCGCTATGCTGCATAAAGCTTTGACCTACGGCGCTAAACGTTCTTCTTAAATGTGTTAGGGGGCATACTTATTTATATATGCTCTTTTGTTGGTCTCTTTTCCTGTACCATTTATACTACAACAAATTTCAAAGGTTTGTGTTACCATCTTCAAGCCATGATTTTTGGAGCCCTGTAGAAAACAGATTAGTGAGCAGGATGTTGGTTTACAATAGGAGATTCAGGGTTAATCAAACTGCAAGATATGTGACATACTCGTATGACATATAAGTACGAACTGAACTACTCCCCGCCAAAGACAACTTTCATGCAATACCTTAATCAGATTTGCGCTTCTCTATCGGAACATTTTCATTTTTAATGTATAAACCAGACCGCCCCCCCATATTTAGTCTAGAAAGCTATTCGTGCAAAAAAGGCATACAAATTAACTTCAAACTATAAAATCATAGCCGTGCTTATAGCAGGCCTTTAACCGCTTGTTAAATCAATTAAATTTTTAAACGGAAGTACTTGGAAGAATAATAAAAACATGCGCGTGCTGGGCCCTCAGATTTGGTGCGGTACTCTCAAGTGTGGGTGGAAGTAGAAATACGAGTATGCTATTTTGCGGTAGATCTACTGTTTGTTCGGGTTCGTCTTTTGTTTGGGATTGCTGTTAGATATTTACTATTTACTATTACCAACTGTGGACATAGATAGCTATGTTCAAGTGTTGTTCGATTAAAAGTAGTCTTAGTATTGAAGCTTCAGACCTGATATATCTGTACCTTCGAGAGGGATTACTTTTGTATTTCTTTATATTGAATTGTAATCTCATAATATTCACATTATCTATCGGCTTATTGAGTTGGTTATGAGCTCATCGCAGTTTAAAACAAGAAATTGTCCATGGGTCTTTTTTTGCAATTCGGCATATTTTTTGCTCTTTGGTCCAAACGAACTTCGAACAAAACTTGATCCAAGGGGAACACACATAAAATGTATTTGAACGACTGAGTCTACAGCTATTAAGACTTGTTAATATTGTTGTCATAGAGAGGACGGCTTTATTAGGATGCAACAAATACGATCCATGCATGAGCCAGAGCTTCATAGCAAATAAATTACTCATGAGCACTGGTACCCCAATGAAGAAGAAGAAACATCTGAAAGGGATACATAGCAACCATCTAGAAAGGAGTAGTATGTGGAGAGCCATCGATCGTTAATCATTAATCGGCGGCAAACGATATATAGGCGATAGATAGTGCAAGAGATTTATTTAAATATTTACATATTGTATATACATTATTGTGTAAGTGAAATGATGAAATGATGAAATGATAAAATGAATGTATGCTATGCATGTGTGTATGCATTTGCATAAGTGTGAGTGAGTGGCTCAACAAATATCAGTATTCGACTTCGTGAAAGCGGCTCGCCCTTCGCAAGGTACTGCTATGGCTATGGGTGATGGGCCATATTTATGATACTTTCACAAGTTCACGTACAAATACATATGTACAGTACATTTAAATAATAATATTTTATTCAAACGGACGTTATAGGATCGTTAAAAAACGCTTAATATAGGGGAAAAAATAAAATCCTTTTTTTTTAATATCTGATACAAAACAATATCGGAGCGGAGCAAAAACTTTTCGAATATTTTAAGAATGCAGTCACATACGAGTATGTATTTCTCGTTGTTAAATGGAGTATGCATTATGAAGTACAAAATAAAAACTTCAATTTGGTCTGCGCTGAAATCTAAATTCAACTTTCATCAGGCTGCTATAGAGGGAACGATGTAAAACAAAAAACGAAATACCTCAGCAAAGTTGATTAAAGACAACTACAACAACTACAATAAATTATTCTTATTCAGTGCCGAAGCATTTTCCTTGTTTGGGTTTGTTATAATTATCAATGGAGTATGAACAAATGGTCCAGTGGGTCAAGTGGCGATCCGAACAAAAAATGCATTTACTACTAAATGAAAACCATAAGTTGTTGTTTAAAAGCGAAGTGGCTTTAAAAGTGTACCTGTAATTGTTAGTTTGCATGACCATTTAGATGTTCCCTCAACAGTTGCGTGCTCAGCCTGTTCTAATGAATCTATGTGTGTATCTGGATCCACACCGAATGTCATCCTTAAATTAAAATCGATTACGTATATGTGATTCGTTAATTTGAAGACTCTATTTAAAAGCGTTAAAAATATCAACACGTTAAGGGAGTTTTTTTCATTGGCAATGGCTGGGCGGGTCAACTCACAAGTAATGAGGCCTTACGATACCTTGGACTGCACCTTCATACGTACGTATGTCTGTACATACATATGTAACGCGCTTCCTTATTCAGACTCTTAACCTTAACCTAACCCAACAAACACCAAAGTCGATCTAATTGAAATCTGTATTCTTCCTTTGCGGTGCTCTCTCTGTTCTGTTCTGTTCTGTTCTGTTCTGTTCCCAATAGTCCTCTAGGACTATGTCGATGTTTTAGTGTGACAAGCACAGGCACAGCAGCTGAGTATCTGTTTTTGAAGAGTAAGCCAAGCCATCCACAGGTTCAGGTGTATTTTACTATACATTACTATATATACATATATGTATATACTATACATTACTGTGAACACAGCAGACTCTTTACAAACTCCTTACTTACTCCTTACATACTCTTTACATACGGATGCACGTACACGACGCGTCGTGTGTCTTACAACAGGCAGAAAAGAAAACAATAGTTTTCAGATGCACAGTCAGAAATACATATATTGAGGATGCACATACATGTGTATACACATGTGTATATACATATGTTTAGCCACATAACATCAATATGTACTACGTATGTAATTATATACACATTGTATAATATACATATGTATATGTATGTATTCACATATATTGACATACATATGTATTAATGACCTGTGCAAATGTGTATATTTATATTGCGCACATGCAGTTACACATTTTGCACAAACATACATAAAAGAAAACACAGTTAAATACAACCACACGTACATTATTAGCTATCATTACAATAATAGTAGCACAGCTGTGTCATTCGAATGCAAGATGCGACTGCAAATAAATTCACATACATTTAAAGTTAATTTGAAACAGAAAAGGAAGACGCTTATCAGTTTATCAGTTTAGTTTGTGTAGAATCTATCTCAAACCTGTGATTGCTATTTTGGCCGACCATTTGCTTGTGCCATCCAGGACGCTCTGTTTCACAGCCTTCATATGACCGGTGTGACTCTTCTCCTCAACGCTGAATACGGCTCTAGTGGATGAATGCCAGGGTATAGTTTACTATCTTTATTCGTTTTTTTTTCTTCTTTCTTTTAAATAGTTTTTTTCTGCTTACAAATACAAAAAGATCTCGTTTCCGCTTGCTTCCATCCATATATACATACACATTCTACATGCATATGTATAAGGAATTGAGATACATAAATGTAGTTCTGCCCCCATTGAAGCTAAAACAAGCTACGAGTAGTAAGAGGAGATAAACTCGGCAATCGGGTGCCCGTGTCCCGTAGTAGGGCCCGTGTCCCGTAGTAGGCCCCGTGTCCCCACCGCACATATCCGCACTAGTCAAAACCATTTCGTATTTATAACCTTACCTAATCAGCTCAAAAATTTCGGGCTTCTCTCGCTCGCGTTGCTTCATGCGCTCTTTCATAGCGGTAATAATGGAATTGGCTTTGTCCTCGGCCCCGTGCTTTGAACTCTTCTCGGCAGCACCTGTGAGAAAATTTAGTGTTAGCTTAGTCCCATCGCAAGACTTTATTCGAAATATGTACTTACGCTGAAGACAATCGGCATTCAGCAGGTCCTTGCATTTTTCATGGCACTTCACGCCGCATTCCGTGCATCGTACTCCCTGGCGCGCTATTCCCCAGAGTAGGCCTTCACACTCGTAGCAATATGTTGGTGACGTGGCCGTCCATAGCAAGAAGTTGTGCGGGGTTGTAGATGATATGGGATAAATAAGAGCCTGCAGTGCCTTTTTGTACACGTGCATTTTCTGTTTCGGAATTAAAAAGCTCCGATTAAAATGGTGACAATTGTTCTCTCGCTCTGCATTTTGTTATGCCAAAACATTTGGCAAGAAAATAACATCGCAGCATGTCCAGTATGTCCACCTACCAGCTCTTCATCATTAAGCGTTGCGCGGGGCACGGCTGATGTGAGTCCGGCATTTCGTTTTGTGGCGGCCATAGTCTGTAGTCGGGCATACAGATAAATTAGGTTAGGAGGACTGTATGAGTAAACAGTGTTCTATTTTTTGATTGGTATTAGCACAAAGCTGAAAGTTGTTCAGAAGTTTTGCGTATTAAGGCATTCAAAACGAAGGTATCTATGCTACTTCAGCCGATATCTACTGCACATACTTGGGTAAGTATAAGTGAATGTGTGTGTATTTAATTATAAGATCCAAGTAGAATGCGAAGCAAATTCAAATTCAAATTCAAATTCAAGCAAAATTCAATGAAAATTCTCATTTAAGTTATTATGTAATTAGGGTGCACAAAACTGTTGTACGATTACGGCATGATGATGGTTACTATTAATTAATTAGTTATCTATGAATCTATGAATGATTATACTCGTGTCTATCAGAATAACTAACTATGTATATCGATTCGAAATTATATTTCAAGACTGGTTTGTTTTATCTTATTAGTTTAGTTTTCTGGATTCTAGATATCTATCTAAATGCAGGCTTATGTGTTTGTTGCATGTGCGTATTTTATGTTTATGTGCGTGTTTTACCAACCGTGTTCGGGTTATATTTATGCAAATTCAATAGAACACCCGTACATGTCTCCTTTACTGTGTGCGTCTGCTGTTGCTGATAACAGTTGATCAGAAGAACCAGAAATCAATTATTTCGAACGTTGCTGTAAGTTTCGCAGATACAGCAGAAGACTTGACTCCAAATATACCTAACACCCAGAATCGCAATTTCCAGCTTCCAGATGCAATTAAGTATAATAAAATGAGCAATGCAGCCTTTTATTGAATTTATTTGGATTGGGACACAACGGATTTCAGCGGATACCTTCAATATTTCAGCTGGGTGAAATGGAAGACCTCACCCTCACCCTCACCTCTTTCCATCTGTAGTGCATTTGTTTTACACATTTGTTTGATCGACAGAAGCTTTCGTCAGTGTGGGGCATCTGGTTTTTTATTAACGAAATCATACATATAACTGAAAGGGGAACAGTTTAAATGTGTTCATTGACTCACAGTAAACCGCCTTAAGAATTTGCAAAGAATTCGTGTTGTAATGATGGAACCGGACTGATGCCGTATGATTTGAGTACTTGTACATCTGTCAATGCTGCAACGTTTTCATTGCAGCGTTGGCAAATTGGCAAATTAAATTGGAAATAAAACTGCATTGCCCTTCCTTATACAGCATATGGACTCTGGAAACATGCAATGGATAGGGCTTTATAATTACACTCTGGTTCGGCAATGCACTACATATTATGTTCGTCAAATCCATTTGTATTGTGAATGAGCAGAATATAAATATTCGAATGTTAGTGTTTGTCCGGCAAGAACAGTTGAATGCGCTATGATTTATCTTGACAGGAACGGAACCAAAAGGCCGCACCGAAAACTCGTGAATGAATGTGATTGAATGGAGTGGATCCTTGTATTGAGCAAAAGTGCTCTTTAAATGCTTCGTAAATTTGAATGTAAGCACTGTTTAGCGAGCGGAAACGCTTGTTGGAGATTTTTGTAATCTTAATAATACAATCCCTCGGGTTACGGGTTGATGGTACATATGTACATACATACATCTGTATGTATTTGTACTCTACAGATTGATCGTTTCTGATAAGATATATGTAGGTATTTATGTACCTGTATACTCCTCAAATATAATCACAAATTAAAACCCCGCGAGTCACGTTGAGTTGCTCAACGAAATTCCCATAGAATCGAGATCATTTTATTTTAAATCTATAAAAACCCCCCTCCACAAAATTATAAAAGTTATAAAAATAAAATGATCTCAGTTTTAAGGTAACAGTTCAGTATCTCAATTTTGGTTCTCTTCTATTTTTCTTTGCTGCCCGGGACACACAGCTGGTGGGAGCTGGGGTGGGGGAGCTGGTGGGTTCGATAGCTAATGACAGCACTTAAACTTGATGCTAAAACCTTCCCTGTAAACTTTCAGCAGTTTCTAAATGTCTATGAAAAGGTACATACTCGTACATACTCGTATGTATGTATGTATGTATGTATGTATGTATGTACATCCATGTGTACATAAGTATGCTTGTGTGTATCTGCTGTTTTTAAGTCTGGCTGGGGCTGGTAGTTTAGTGTTTGGTGGAGTCTTAAGAGAAGCTCGTGATCTACTGTGCACAGTACAACTACATTAAAGAAACAACAACAAAAATACTGCACTTAGTGATTATTTAATTTGTATGTGATAGATGAAAATACTTTTAAATTGAATAACTGCTAGTGGGAACTTGTTAAAATGTAGTTTGGAACAAAAGTCTGTAGTTCTATACCTTGAGCACCTGCAGTCCAATAAATCATCGTCGAAAGAAAACAATATTTATTTTTAAGTAACAGTATGTAAAAAGTGGCATTAACGATAAGTATTTAATGTGAATCAGTAGTTTCATCGGCAGACAGGTATGGGATGGGATGGGGTGGGATGGGATGGGGTCCAAAGAACCCTACAAACAAATCGACATATCTACACACTATCTATGCACACGTACATATGTACATTGTCGTACATTTTCACATATGTATGTATGTACAGTTTACATTGTACATTGTACATACACATGTACGTAATACGTATGTAGCAGCTGTGTGATTATGTCCGCTTGTGGCAGTGCGAAAAGCGTTAAGGTACTCACCAATTCAGAAACAAGGGGAATAGACTTTCGACGGGGCCGTATATCCGGCATACTGTCGATATTGCTATAGAAGGGGTTATCGCCGGGATGTCCATTCGTACGTATCCCAACATCTCCTGTTCCACCACCATTCTGTGAAAGATTTGTTTCCATATTATTATTATTATATACATATATGTATGTACATACATATGTACATTTTTCTTACATAGCATAGATATCAAAAAATAAAAATATACAAAACAAAGTCAAAAAAATGTAACAGTTGGTTAGCATTGAAAGGCGTAGCCTATTTCGCACCCACCGGCCGATCCATCGTTATTGTATCAGTTTAACGTTAATTAATAATTCAACATTTAAGTAGGTTAAGTAAGTTAAGACGAAACCTAAGTAAAATAAAAATACATATGTATGAGGGTATGTACTACAAATATTTCGATTGAGGGTGAATGATCAGTTGCCGTATATTAAATATGGAAAATCGAGAGCATTATTTGTATTTGTAGCGATGTACATAACGATTTGTACATACATACGAACATATATTACGATTGGCATTACCTTCTCCCTGTCTTTGGTCATTTCTTCCTCTTTAATTTTGTCCTGATTGTTTTTCTCCTCGATCTTACGCTCCTTAAGAGTTTTTAGCAGCTGCCACTTACTGCTGCCAAGACCCGCCGTGGCGCCATTGCTGCCCACCGCCTGGGATCCCTCGACACTTGATTCCTGACTTAATAGCTTCATTGGACACGGCTGAGATGAAACTGAATCCCTAGCACTCAGTGGGGACGATGTCTGTTTGTTGCATCGCTCAATGGATGGATCTAGCACGGCTACTGACACTGGGTCGTACTCATTCGGGGGCATTGCATTAAAAATGTCCCCCGATTGTTGGTTTTCAATTGTTAAGCGATCGATTCCAGCCGCACCACCACCACCGCTTCTGTTCGGACTCTCTTCTGCCAGGCTCAAATCCCTTTCCGTATCATCGCTCATCTCCGCTGGCGTATCGGGTCCGGATGTCGCGCTAGAGGCCGATGATCCTTCAAATATTTCTATCGAGACATCTTTGTTCTGCTCGGATACCGATGCTGCGTCACTGATAAAACGTGGGCTCTGCTCGTACTCATTTTCATTCTCTGAAGCACAGGAAGAACTGGAACTGGCAATATTATCAGCTGCAACTATGTGTTTATTCGTTTTTTGGATACGTTTCCGCTTCTTCAGTCGCTTCGACTGCTGTTTTTTGTTGTTGTCTTTGTCTTGAAGCCCACTTACCACTTGCCCTTCCCCTTCCCCTGCCCCTGCCCGAGCAGCCACCTCGGTATCCCCATGAGATTCCATATCAGATGTTGCCTGCTGAAAATCGCCGTTGACATCCTGCCAAGCGCTATGCATGTCACAGACAATTTCGAACCTGTCCCGTGCTGGTTTTGTTAATGCCTTTGTTAATGCTTCCCCTGCGTCGTCGTCCCCTGCAGTACTGCCATACAAGCTTCTGCCGTAGTGGATTTCTGGCTCTAGTCTGACCGCGTACCTGAGCTCATCCAATACCTTGGACATCTGCAGCTTTGCACTTTCATCCGGCGAATAAACATGGGCGTCCTCCGCTTCTTCAGCAAAGGCAAAGTTTTCCCCGGGTGCTTCGCTATGCAGCAGCTGTCCAATCTGCGAGAACAACACTTGATTGTCCGCACTTTGGTCGCTGGTTACGTTGTCAGCATGCGCTGCTCGTTGATGCTCCAGTTCCTCGAGCTGGCGAAGCTCATAGCAAAAGTATTCATCGTCTGTGTCGATGCTATCTTCGGTGCTTTGGCGACGAGAAGACGAGAGCGTGCGACCGGAATGCTGACTACGACAGTCGTCATCGTCCCGTGACCCATATCCCAGATTGCTTGGAATGTCCAAGGATTGCTGTGCAACCCAGACACCCCCACCTCGGCTGTTAGTGGCCATAGTCGCAGTGGTTTTGGTTGGAGTGCCTGCTGTAGAGGCTGCGACTGTTGCTATTGCCAGTTGGGCTTGCGGGACTGGGACATTGGATTCAGTGCCATCAGACACTCCGATAAAGGGAGGAGAAACGTCGTAGTTCTCATCATCAATATAGACTGAGCTTACTTTCTGAAGGCTCGCCTGTGGCTGAGCAGCGTAATAGGCGTCTGCTGAAGTGCCTATTGCCATCTCACTGGCTTCCAAGAGAATCTCTGGCATCTTTATAAATATGTCAGCACTATTACGCACTTTGTCACGTTCCAAAAGCTCAGACGACGTGCATGGGACAGCCTCCGTTGGGGTAAGCTGTAACTTTTTGAGGTCCCCAACGACAGCGAACAGATTGGGACAGGGACTATCCATTTCAGTTGCGAGGCCTCCATCACAGACGACGGAGTGTTGGGATGGCAGTGGCACGTAAAAATCATCATTGATATCGTCATAATCATCTTTGTGGCATTCTGTTTGATTTGTTCTCCCTTTAGCCCCCCCGATGCCCCCAAACATATCTGTTGATTGTTGATTTGTCACTTGGCACTCATATAAAGAACAATCCTCGTTATCCGATGAAGTAAAGCCTGGCAGATCTAGTTCGGTATCGGACATATTTGAGCCGCGGCGCAGGACACTGCTGTTCCGTTTGTAAGTCTTTGCTTTCTGCATTAAATTGTTCATCTTAGATGTAAATGATCGTTTCTTCGGTGCTCCAGTACCAGTACCAGTACCAGTGCCAGTGCCAGTACCAGTACTAGCGTCAGCTGCACCTCCAGCTGAGTCGGAGTCTGACAGACGTCGTACAGAGTGCGGAGCCGTAGCTTTTTGTATGAGACGCATCGGTAGCTTCTGTAAACGTTTGGATAGCTGTCCGTGACTTCCGTTTCCATTGGAGCGCTTATACGAAATAAACGGATACGAGCCTGCCTGGCCACGGGCTTGTCTTTGATTGCCTTGACTTTGCACATCACCGGGTAAGGACTGTGATCGATTGTACTTAGCTGAGCGCTTTAGCTTTAGATTTTCTGGCAACAATGTGCTCAATTTGTTCCATACCTTTGGTGACTTTGTGGTGACCGGTGGGACTGTGACTGTGACTGGGAAAGCGTCGGGGACGGGGACGGGGACTGGGACTGGGACTGACGACATTTCCCCAGACTCGAACCGTTTCGCACCGTTGAGGTGAATCTGGGCCGAAGCTCGCTGACTGACTGTATAATCAACTGCTGGAACATGAACAGGAACTGGAACTGGAGCAGGAACTGCCACTGCCACTGCAGCTGTTGACGATTGGAGCATGGGAAGGGGAAAATTGGAATTGGTTGCTCTATCCAGAATCATATATTGTGATTGGCTTTGCTGCTTATGCCCCAAGTAGTCCAAATTGTTGCTGCTGTTGTAGTCGGTGATGCTGCTCGAGGATGGATAATACACCAGTCTATCCGTCAAATGTGGCTTGCGGCATTGTTCTGGGACTTCCACGCGGTCTGCACCAGATTTTTCGAAGCTATACTTTGATTCGTTTACATTGAGACAACTGCTTATTCCGGAATCCGTTCTTGGATTATTCCTGAGGGATGGCTTGGGCGTAGTACTCGGAGTTTGGTTAGTTAGCAGGTCCGGCATACGGTCTTTATTATGTAATTGTTGCGTTGTAACATCCTTCTGATCCCGTTGATCCCGTGGATCCCGTGGATCCCGTTGATGCTGTTGATTTTTTTGGTCCCACTCTAGCATTTCATCAACGGTGGAAAATTGACCGATTTGCTTAGCAGCGTCATTGACATTGAATATGGATTGGTTTTCATATGCAGAGCAAATCGGGATATTTTTTGAAAGCTCGTGAATGTAGTTAAGGTTCTCTTCGGAAAATTTATAATCACATTGCTTTGGGCTTTGATTGTCAGCATCAGAGCTATTGAAATTGGAATCTGTACCTGAGGTACCCTGTACAGGGTATGCCAGCTGGAAAGTTTCCGTGCTCCTTTCGTTACTTCTGTTAGCAAACAGACTACAGTTCTGGATGCCAACGGTTACCGGGGAGTTCGGCGACCAGCCGCTCATCGAAGATAGCCCTGAATCGGACTTGGCCTGTTTCTGCTGATGGGCTTCGATTTCTCCGCGGAAAGTATTCTCTGCCACCGACGCATCCATACCTAGATTGTCATTCGGCGCTGGCGGTGGGGGACTGGGACTAGATCGACCTTGATCCATCATTAATATATCGGTAAACTCAGCCGTGACCTTATGTTTGTCCGGGTTTTGCAGATGAAGTAGGAACAGCATACTATTGTGACGTTCCAGGCTTTTCTTTAAGGACTGGATGTACTCATCCTGATTGTAAATATTCCTCGAGGAATTGCACAAATTATCATTTGTTCCATGAGCAACACTTAGATCCCAGTTGCTGTTGCTGTTGCTGTTCCTGTTCCTGTTATGCTGAAAAGTCTTATCCATGTGGACATTGGCATGGGCATGGGCCTTGTCCACTCCCGCTCCATGGCTCTGCACTATTTGATCTATTTTTTTCTTGCGGTTTATTTCAATCTCTTGTGTCTCCAGTAGCTTCAGTTGTTCGTCCAGATCAGAATTGTTTCGGAGCAGCTGTGCACTAACATTGCCCACATTTAGTTTTGCTGTGAGATCTCGAATGGAGGACGTTGGACTTTGACTTAACTTTGACATAACCTTTGAAGTTTTGTCCACCATATCCTTGTCCTTGTCCTTGGCCTTGTCTTTGGCCTTGTCCTTGTCCTTGTCCCTGCTTTTGTCATCGTCCAATGAGTTGCCAACTAGTTTCTTGAGTGTGTCAATATTTTTATTGAACTTCTTCATTACAAGAATAAACTTTTTATCGGCATCCGTGATGCGCAGTCGTCGCATCTCCTCAGCCAAGGTGACAGGGTTGAGTAGCAGTAGGGTCAACTTCTTATCGACGTGGTTAAGTCTTTGGAAAAAAGTCTCCTCTGCCCAAATGGTCTGCCGTATTTGACCGATTTGAGCGGCACTCAGTGACTGCAGTTCAGAAATCTTATTGATTTCGCCTATCAGCGTCTCCGTTATGCTGTCTAAAATAGTTGTGTTGTCCTCGTAGAAGCAGCCGAAGCTATTTGTCTTTCGCCGATTGTCACTTGCACCGGGAGTTATACTCGTGTCCGCCTCAGCCCTGCCCTTATCGTTCGCTGCACAGCTGCTGTCGAACTCGGTCGAGACGGTGGTCTGGATGCTCCTAGCCGACTGGGACTGCGCCAGAATGCACTTTAGATTATTTATCATTTCCATTTCATTCTTATGGTGCTTCTTTTTCCGATGCTTCCTTGAGTCTCTGCTAATGTGAGTGGTTGATCGGGCACTGGAATCAGATGCAGATGTCGCTTCCTTTGTTGCGGCTCTACTGATGCCTGTGTCGTCGTCCACCTTGCCCTCATTGATCATCATCAAGGAAGACGTCGAGTGCTCGTGAGCCTCCGAGTGCTGCAACAATGAGTCCACCTTGGAAATCTCCGTGCTCAGGTCGTTGTCACGATATGCCTCATTGAGTGTCTTATAAAAGGATTCGTTCATTTCATTGTTGTTTGCGGCTAGCAGAATCTGTGTTCCTCCAGTATCCTCAATGGGCACGACTTGGTTTCCCCCTTCGCCCGTTTTAGAGGCTGCCAACCGAAAAAACTTAACTTCCTCGATAAGGTCGTCGAGTTCATTGGAGACGTTGCTGGTCTGTCTGATGGGCTCCCCTTCCTGAACTCTCCGGCCGTATGAATGGGTCCTTTGGCTCAGGCCTTGGCCTTGGCCTTGGCTTTGGCTTTGGTTCTGGCTTTGGGGCCGCTCTATACTCACCATTTGTGGTAAGTTGAGAAAGCTGTTGGGAGTGGATAGAACTGCTGATGCTGAGGCCGAGGCAACCTCAGTCAAAACCCGTTGTCCGTTCAGAAATTCCTGTAGCAATTCAGCACGTGCGTTGTTAGCCAGAGCTTGCTGTTGCTCATAAAGTATTAGATCCGAATCAGAATAAAGCTTCTTGCGCGGCTTTTTATGGTGGATGTCAATATCAGACAGCCAAACGTTTGCGGCTCTGTCGCTCTTCGCGAAATTGATTCCCATTTGTTCGATATCCAGATTGTGGTCATCCATAACTCCGCTGTCGTAGTCAAGGAAAAGCTCATCTTGATTGTGTTCTAGTGCACAAGCAGCATTCATAAATATATCCGAGTCTCGGTGTCCCATCAAAGTTGTGGGATCAAGTCCGTCCAAGCTGATCATTTTGTCATAGTCATGCTCATGCTCAGACGGCGGCGCTCTCATTTCCATCTCAATATTGACGGCACTTTCGTCCATTTGCAATGGCAGTGAGAGCAAGTGCTCATCTGTGAGAAATTTGGTTGCACCTTCCATGTCCTCCTGATGCTGATGTTGAAGTTGTTGCTGCTTCGCGGCTCTGATCAGACCCATCAAATTACTAACCACCGACTGATGTTCCACTGATATGTTTTCGAGCTTCTCCAAGCGAATCCAAATTTTGCCATACTCCGTAGAAAGCAAATCCAATGCCCGCCAGGCGAACTTCAGCTCTGTTTCGAGCAAACTAATTCGCGTTGCAATTTTGTCCATATAATCGGAGATAATATAATCGGAGTGTTGCTGCGAATTGTATATCTGACACAGCTGCTGCTCGCTTCTAAGCGACATCATGCTGCCATTAGTGGGGTGCGAGTGAGATTGAGATGCCCCCAGGCTTAGCGGCGACTTGCTGCACTGTCCCAGTAATTGTGGTTGCGGTTGTGGTTGTGGTTGAGGTTGAGGTTGAGCGGAAGTGGATGTGGGAGTGGGTCCGGTGCCCAAGATTAGATGATTTTGACGATACTTTGACATTTGATCTACCTTTTGCAGTAGCTGGCTCTGGTCCTGAGATTGGGACTGCAAGTGGGACTGGGGCTGGGACTGGGACTGGGGCTGGGTCTGGGCCTGAGCTCGTGATTGCGATTGCGATTGTGGTAGGGATTGTGTCAGGTGCGGCATTGCATATTTCGTAGATAGCTGATTCTGTTCCCTCAGCTGCTGTTTTATCTGGAACTGGCTCTTTAGAGCATTTTCCGCTGCAGTGTGCTGTAGCTTTTCGATGGCGATCTCAGATATCGAATGCTGCACTTGATGTTGGTAGTGACTAAATTGGTCCGGGACCCCAGCATAATTTTCAGCCAATGGCGCCAACGGTTGCGGTGCATTCATCGTATTGGTCCGAGATGCAAATTTAATATTCGACGTTGGCGACTTTGATTGTGTTGGATTCAAAGACATAATGCAAACTCCACCTAAATTATTATAGCTTTAAAAGTCTTCGATCTAGGATATATTTTATTATACATACGTTGAGTCCAGAATTCAAAGTCGACTTAGCTGAGAGCTTATATCCATATACAGATCTACGATATTTGGACAGTAATTCATATAGATACATACACACATACATACTTAATAATGTAAATACTCTGCCAGAGCTGTGCGATTGAGTTCACTTGAAATCACCTACATAAGTTTTCACTCTGCCATTCTTAGTAAGGTTAAAGTATGTTGGATCGGATCGAATTTGATTGGATTATATTGGAGTCATACTGTGTGTATTCGAACACAAATATGGGACGGAAGGGGACGGACAGGACGGGACGGGACAGTACGAGTATAGGTAGAATTAAATGCAAGAGTGTACAGAAACTCAAGTATTTCCCTTCTGAATACTCGTATGCGGCAGTTTGCGGCCTTTCTAGTGTAAAACGGTTGACCGTGTTGAAGGACTCACACGACCAATATTGTTGCTTGTCGCCCGCTGGGGATTGGAAGTAGAGTTGGGTAAAGAGTGTTCACTTTACTGAACAAGTTCAGTTGCTCACTTTTAAGTGAGTGAACAACTCGCTCACTTTGCTCAGTTGCTCATTTGTTCACTCAGTTGTTCACTTGCTCACTCAGTTGTTCACTTGTTCAGTTGTTCATTCAGTTGTTCAGTTGTTCCCTGTTCAGTGGTTCACTCAGTTCAATGCTTTGTTTTTCAAACATTTGTTAATTTTCCCCAGTTTATTTTTGTGGTTCATTCGAAATACATACAAATAGATGTACATATGTATGAATAAGTATGTTTAGCAAAACCCCCCACCCAAATATTAAAGAATATCGAATAACAATACATAAAAGTAAGAATCCCTCTATACGCAGCAAAATTGTCTAAGTCTAATGTCATATGGCTAAAAGTAATTTTGTCTTGTGTATCGCAGAGTAATCTTGAACAGGGAACAACTGAACAAGTGAGTCAACAGGGAACAACTGAACAAGTGAGTGAACAACTGAACAAGTGAACAACTGAGTGAGCAACTGAACAAGTGAACAACTGAGTGAACAACTGAACAAGTGAACAACTGAACAAAAATTGAGTGAGCATGTTCAGTTCACTCAGTGAAGTGAACAGCTCATTTTTGTTCACTCACTCATGAGCAACCCAACTCTAATTGGAAGTACAAGTTCTAAAGGCGCCTCCTCTGAATAGGCCATTCGAAGCTCTAATAAAGGGGCACTGCACAGAAGAATTTACACTATCGTACTAATATTGTTGTGGGCGCAAGCAGAAATACTCAACAAAACTTTTTGGTAATTTTCAAAACTAGTTTTATGAATACAATGTCTATGGCCATGGCAGACTATTTTTATGGAGTTTTCAGCGGAGAAAAGAAGTCTTGGTACTCTTTGCCGAGTCTTGTACATGTGTATCTGACTCAATTCATCTTTTGCACAAAATTCTGTATACGCATATCGTTGCCGTTGCCGTTGCCGTTGTGGTTACTTGTATCCTATCCTATTGTTGCATGTCAGTTGGGTGAAGTTGGGTGCCAGCGAATACCTATTTCGAATTATTCCAATAAAATTCGGATTTTAATGCCGTTTGTCCCAGCACACAGCACAGCACAGCACACACTTCAGATGGGGAAAAGCAATTTACTGCGCACAAACTTGTGTGTTCCGATGCGAATTGAAAAGCGTTGAAATGTGTACTACAACTTTGTAAATTGTTCTGTGTTGGGCATTTCAGTTCACCTTATCGATGGGATGGAGTTACTGCTACTAACTGAGCTTGTGTGCGAGCACACGCACACGCACGTACACTCCCCTGCAAGTGTGTGCGAGACACCCTTAGAACTTGTGTTTTAGTGCACATGCGAGAGCCAAAATGTCAAAATACTTGTGTATACTGGCGCAGGCACACATGCTCAGAGAGCGAGTCTGACAGCAGCAGCAACAGCAGCAGCAACAGCAGCAGCAGCAGCAACAGCAACAGCGAGAGAATGAGAATCAGACACAGAATCAGAATGAGAATGAGAATGAGAAAAAGGTAGAAGTGTCTACTGCGCATGACATGCTCAACACCAGTTTGGCCTAGTCTAGTCGGGAAGTTGTTGCGTTTCCCTTCCTAAATGAACATACATACCACATAAATCCGTATCGTATCCACAATGATAAGCTAGAAAGTACTAGCGGGGAGTCTAGTTACCTCTGATTAAAGTTAAAGTGTGCTTATTAGCCTGGCCTAACCTGCTTTTCAATCGACTGTACCTCTACTGTGATGAAAACCTCAGGCTTGGCGAAAGCTGAACAATAGATGGCGCCAGGAACAAACCCATGATTACACTACTCGACAAAATCGAACTTTTTTTTTCCTCAAGGATCCAAACCGACTTTTTCTGATAGATATGGGGCTTTAAAATTGTTTAAAGAATTATGGTTTTTTTTCTATGGCAGAACTTTTTTGTTTTAAGAATTTTTGAAGTCTGGTATTTTTTTGAAGCTTTTTTCAGAGGTAGCGCTTGTTTTTTTCACATAAGTCTAGTATCTTACGTCTGGCTGTAAAGAATTTTGCTATTTTGAAAAGATATTTAAAACAGCTAGAAGTTAAGCCCAAACACTTTGTGATTTCAGCTTACCGTCTGGGAAATATAAAGCATTGAAATGTAAAAATGATGATTTTTGTGCGGTATTTTTTACGAAATTTTGACATTAAAAACTCAGGAAAAGTCGAAAAAAAATTATATCCTGTGTCCTCTATTTTTTTTTTGTATAGGTGCATTAATTTACATCGTTTAAGGTATCGCTCAACTGCCAATTGGGAACAAAGCAAAGGAAAAAGGGTTGTACATTTGGTACCTGATCGCGATCGCAATTCCCGATTGGCAATTGGGCCCGCAGCCTTCCAAAAGGTATATTTTGTTCATTTTTTTCATTTTTTAGGTTTGGTTAACGAATTTTAGCTCCAAAGTCTCTCCATAGATTTGAACGATACCTTAAACGATGTTAAATTAATGCACCTATACACAAAAAGATAGAGGACACCGGATATAATTTTTTTTCGACTTTTCCTGAGTTTTTAATGTCAAAATTTCGTAAAAAATACCGCACAAAAATCATCATTTTTGCATTTCAATGCTTTATATTTCCCAGACGGTAAGCTGAAATCACAAAGTGTTTGGGCTTAACTTCTAGCTGTTTTAAATATCTTTTCAAAATAGCAAAATTCTTTACAACCAGACGTAAGATACTAGACTTATGTGAAAAAAACAAGCGCTACCTCTGAAAAAAGCTTAAAAAAAAATACCAGACTTCAAAAATTCTTTAAAAGATTCTTCTTCTTCTTTCTAAGCCCCAAATCTTTAAGAAAAAGTTCGTTTTGTTCCTTGAGGAAAAATCGTGTTGACTAGTGTTATCTAAACCGCAGCACAGCAGAGGTCATCATAACATTACCATCATTAAAAGGGTTTGCAACGCTTATGTTGGTTAGCCTATCTATCTCTATCTCTATATATTTCTATTTATTATATCAAATAGTTTGAGGTCGTCGTCCGATATTTTATTTTCGGCACATAAACTTGGCATGCCACGCACAGAAGGGATCGTCTCTTAGTCATCTCGAAATTTTGCAGACTGTGAATAAAACAAACAGGCTGCAAAATTTCCCTGATCACATATGTACATATATGATTGCTCTAGATACATCAAAATAACCAAGGCTCAAAAGAATAAAAATTCGAAATAAAAATCTACTCGAACTGTTTTGCAACTTCCCATGGGAGGGGTATTGGCGCAACTACCAAAATGATTGTGGCGAAGCATATACGTATTGTCTGGTGAATGCCTAGTCAAATGTGCTTTAGACTTTGAAGCTATATATAATCGTTCGGAACCGAAAATCACCATCGAAGAGGTAACTGATTGTGATTTTTCTGATTAAGCTTTTGGCATGAATAAAATGTACTTTATTACTTCCATCCTTAAGCTACAAAATGTTGTCCTACTCGTTAAAGATAGTCAACCAGAAGAGCAGCCATTTCGAAAGCCTATTTCCAAATTTGTAAGGTGTAAGGTAAAAGTCTTTCCTAACTCTTAAATAAATACGCGACCAGAGAAATCTATTTGAACGTAAAATCTCAATACAGATTTGAAATTTTGAATGCAAATACAGTAAATATTAAATATTATGCTCAGCATCGTTCTAGTTTATGGCGTGTTTCTCGATGGACAATCCAAATACAAATTGGTTTGAGCGCATCCATTAAATATCCCTGTATATGTACAGGTTAAAGTACTCGTATATTCACGGGAGAGACTTACGTGTGACGCTTTACTTTGATATTGGAGGAGTATGCTTAACTTGCGGGTACGTTCCGCCACGGATGGACTCATGTTGGTGTGGTTTGAGCAACATACTCGTATCATGTTGACTGAAGTTCGTACAGCGCGTTCGAAGTGTAGCGCAGAACTGTGAAGGCCGTCATTACTAAATTTGTCCACCTCAACTGCGCTATCAGTGTTATTTGTAATGGCCTCATGTGGGCGTCTGCTCTTGGCGTTTGGCATGACACACAAACGGTGCAACCTCAGCCCTCAACCAACGACGTGTGGCTCCATTATCAATACAGGTTACGCTACGCTACGCTACGCTACGCTACGCTACCCTACCCTCCCCTACCCTACACCACACTACGAATAAATTACGAAGAGTGCGGGCGCTTTTGCTCACATGCTACCACTGCGACAGTGAAAAGCCTGTGGTGGACCCTTTGCACCGTTGAACACAAAACAAGATACATATTTCCAGCTCCAACGTCATATCCCTGTCTACCGACTACTTATACAAGTATAATATATTCCTGTATCTATCAAATCATACATTAACTTAAAATGTGAATTATTAAGCTGATCTGCATATGATATCTTTGATATAGACGTTTTTTTCAAAATTACTTTAATTAATTTTTTGTTTATATATTTGCCACCCCAAATATACCAAATGTACCCACACCTTTGCATACATTTGTACCCAGTGTGAGTCTTAAGATAGCAGATCATTATTAACAAAAGGAGCGGAAGCGTCGTGAGCCGCGGCATGGGAAGGGCCGCGGAACTTAGTCAGTTCTCTACGCGATCTCCCTCAATTTTGCTCGCACTTGTCATGAGAGAGGACGGACGTACCAGACGTACAGACGGACAGAAATACATATATGTATATGTGTGTACATATATATTCACACCTTGAGTATCGGGCATAAAAGTCATATACAATTACCATAAACCCACATCTGCAATGGAGAACGTATGGAACTGCTGACTGGCAAGGCAGCCAACCGGTGGGGCAACTAATTATAATTACTATTTATAATTGGTAAACAAAAAAAGATGCCAAAAATGTTTACTAAATATTGTTGAATAAGTTTTACTTACATTGAGCTGCATGATAATCTTGTTGTAAGCCCAATGCCAGCGTTGCCGAGCTGTTACTTCGGCCTGTCGAATCACTTGCATGTGGCCACCGACCACTTCCTCTGTTTCACCCCGCATGAGTGGCTTCTTCTTCAGGGACTTCAGTCTTTTTAAGTCGGCGAGTTCGGCCAGCTGATCGTTTATGTCTTCCTCTCCAGTGACAAGGTCGGGTGACATTTGTTCCGCCGCACAGTCAACTAAATTGGATTCCGAATCTTGAAGAATGCTGTCCTGCTTTTGAACCGGATGATGTGTTGGCGTCAGTTGCAACGAAATATATTCCGGCTTGAATTTGTCTGTCTTTATCTGATTAATAACCTCTTCGGTGGTGTCTTTTCGAGCTCCGACGCCAGCAAGGTCGATTTTATTAGCCTTGCTCCCTTCGACGATACCAACGCTCCCGCTGGAGCTTTCATCTAGATAATTGCCACTGTCTTCTTCACTTTGGTAGTGTTCGTAAAGAAAGTCATCGTCCTGTCCTTCGTCAATGAAATCTAGTGATGATTGATTGTTCGATAGCATCATTTTGGTCTGGTGCTGCTGTCTTTTGCTGCCGCTGCCGCTGCTTCTAGGCTGCTGTTGTTGTTGCTCTTGCTGTCTCTGCTGTTCTAGATATTTATATTCATCCTCCTCATTAAAGTAGTCCTCCCGATAGTCATAGCCACAGTTGACGTGTTCATAATAACCGTTCGGCTGGCTTGACGGTGTCGTCTGCTGATGACCCATGTAGTAATCACCCTGCTCACTATCAATGCAATAACTCGGTTCTTTGCCGATCGCTATATCCATATCATCTATATCTGATTCATCATCAAAGATCTCAGTGGGCATTTGTTTGATTAACAGCCCCGACTTACCATTGATGGTGGGCAGTTTTTTGCCGGTGGATCCTGCTGGCGGCACCGCCCCCGGTACCGGTACCGTCGGCAATATTTTTGCCCCATTTGCAACCATTTGGGATTGGTCTGCTCTTGCCATATCTTCACGCTGGCCTTGATTGCCATTCGAATAGAAGTTGGCGAATAACTTGCTATCGTCAGGGCTGAACTCATGCATTTTGATGTTACTGTTCTCGTAGTCATCGCCAGTATTTGAGTAATGGCTCGACAGTAGCTCCTGATTAGTCAGCTGGTTGTTGTAATCGTTGTTCACGATTGCATCAAACCCTGCGGACTTCAGTCCCATTTCAGTCTTCGACGGCTTGATTGCACCGGGCGAGGACATAGCAGACACGTCACCCATGTTATTGGTACGTGCCGCTGAAGGTGGCACTGACGGTTTTTGTGTTACAGCTAATGCCACCGAAGAGGCGCCTTGATTAACTGCCTGGGTTGCTGATTGCACAGCGGCCGCAGCCTTTCCGAAAATAGATCCAAACATTCCGCCACTGCCAGTCGTACCGGAAGATACACTTGTTTTAGTCGGTGCCTCAAGGGGATGGGATGGGGTACCAGCGGACTCGGAGACTTTTGATTTTGAAGCCAAATAATGAAACGCTTCGGACGCTATTCCGGGCTTCATATCACCGGGAATGTCTTTGTATGGCTCGTTGTAGCCGTAGCTAACGTCGCTGTTGTTGCCTTCGACTGATGTTGGGTACGAATAGGGATGTTCCGTGAAGCCATACTCATCATCCTGGTCCAGCATTGCCCCGCTCAGCACTTCATGAGTCGAGTTGAACCCGTCATAGCTTTCCACATAATCATAGCCAGGACTTGCATATGTTGTTGAGCTGGGTGCGACGACTGCATTGTTGTAAACGTGGGACTCATTTATGGGGGTTAGCGTCCCACTGTCGGCTGTGTATGTGTATGGCTCCCCAAGTTTATACTCGTAAAGATTCTCTTCAAAGTTAGCTCCCATAATGCCAGCACTAACATCCGAAACGTTTGCTGTTGTGGTCGTTGGTAAGGCAGTAGTTGCACCTGTCTCCTGTTGTGTTTGCTTGCTGGAGCTGAAGCTAGAGCTGGAGCTGGCGCTAGAGAGCAACCCACCTACACTCGGCACAAGCTTGGATGCCAGGCCAAATCCAAAACCCTTTTTACTGGTTGTACTAGTCTGTTGCTGTGTTGCTTCCACGGTTGAGCTGACACCACTAAACACGCCGTCCAGTCCCCCCTTGAGACCCTTGGAAAGCCCCCCTAGCACACTCGTTGCCGCTGAGGCAACCACTTTGGCCTTTTGTTGCGCTGGCGTAGGTGACTTGTGGACAGGCTTATAATATCCACCCTGACCCGAATTCAGGCTCTGGTTTGGTTCAGTTAAGCCAACGGGATCCACCTTTTCATTGGTCTTGTTTACAGAAGTGTCCCTCTCTTCCCCGATGGCCATTAATAAGCTGTTCTCTGCCTTGTTTGACTGGCTTGGCTGGTTTGACTTTGGCGCGGCAGTTGAGCAGGTTTCACTCTCAATATGGGATATGGAGGCAGTCAGTACTGTTAGATCGACATTGAAACTATCGTAAAAGGTATCATCAAACTCAGTAGCTATGGACACCGATGGCTCCGATGGCTCGGATGGTTCCGCTGGCTCGAAGCCAATGATACGTCGAAATTGAGTGTCTACTGAACATTCTGTGGTGGCAGTGGGTGCTAACGTTATTGCATTGTCCGAATCGTCAATTCTTGCGACAGCTCCCGATATTACAAAATCTGTGTCCGACTCCTGGCAAGCAACAGGAAAACTGCACTCCTTATAAGTGTAAAAATTAGGAGCTGTAAATTCGGTCAAATAAGACTGCGATGGAAGCGTGCTTATGCTTATGCTTGTGCTTGTGCTTGAGCTTGTGACCGTTTTTATAATTTCAAATTCTGTATTTTCAGTCGAAACAATGACATCGGCAGCCACTGAAAGATTGGCCTCAGTTCCAGTTCCAGTTGCAGTGGCACTGATAGGGGAGCTGCTGCTACCAATCTCCAGAAGGGGTTGCGGCAGTTCGGGCAACTCAAATTTCTTCATATAATCGGTGTAGGATAATATTGGAGCTGTTGATGAGGTCGAAGTTAGCGTTAACGTTAACGTTGATGGAGAAGGTGAAGCCGAAGCTGAAGCTTCGCGGCTAGTGATAATTGGCCTCACTGCAGAACTAGATGCAAAAACAGTTTTTGTGAACACATCGTCAGAGTGGCTGAGACTCTGACTCTGACTGTGACTGTGACTGTGACTACAGTTCGTAGTTGTGAATATGTCGTGAGAATAATTTTTCGTTGGGGATATTGCTTCGGTTGCATGTTCTACTAATCTGGTAGTCTCGGTCGGTTTGCTGAATAAATGCGAATATGTGTAGAGGGGTGAGGGTGAGTCACTCAAATTTGATTTAATCGGTTGTGGTGGCGTTATAGTCGGGTCTGCAGGCTCAGCCTGAGGCTGAGCTGCTTGATAATTGACGGAGCTATTCCTCGCCACAGAAGATGGAATGGATGCGTCCAATGATGTCCCAGATAGGTTGAATGAATCAAAGAAATCATTATTTTTGAGATTTTCACTGGCGTATGAGGAATCTTTTGTTTTGGTGGTGCTGAAAGCAATGGTGATATGATCTTCTTCTTGATGCTCTTTGGAATAACTAATTGTATCTAATGTATAAGGCTTTAGATATTCAGATATGTCAAAAATGGCTGCATCGGGCTCGCTAATGTGGGTGGATGTTTCCTTCATGGACGCAGCTGAAATCTCTGAGCTCGTCACTGGTCTTATGAATGATGGCTCCATTTTCAGTTTCATATAAGAATCAGTCGATTCTTTTTCAGGAGTGTTGGCCATTGGCGACATCTGCATCTGCATTTGCATTTGCACCTTCGGACCAGCAGTGAAAGGAAGCTCCATTGACGGACAGGGATGGGGTTCTAAGGGTACTGCGGGTACTGCGGTTACAGCGGGTACTGCGGGTGATAGTGGCCATGATGTCAGCACCATATCGTTTTGGGACTGTGTCACATCTACTTCATTAGGTTCCTGATCCTTGCTAAGAAAGGCATAATAAGGTAGCGGGGCTTGGCTTGTGTGGCTTAGTAAATTGGTGGTTGTAAGCATCGATGAGCGTTCCGTTTCAGTTTCAGTTTCGGGTGATGAGCGAGAGGCTGATGTATTGTCTAAAGAACTAAATGGTAATGATGCCACTGCCACTGCCACTGATGCAGGAGCAGTCGACGGGTTTAAATTAGGAAGTATCTTGGAATGCTTTTTGGCCTGGACTTGGGAAGTTGGCAACTTTGGGAGCTGCTTCGGACGATGATTTTTCTCTGCGATTGCTGCTGAAGATTGTAATGAGGAACCTGAACCTGATGTTTCATCTGAGGCTAAGGTGGCGGTTGTATACAATGTTGATGATTTGTACTGTGGCGTTGGTAGAAGTTTTGGCAATTTTCTAGTTGTCGTCGATGTCATCGTCATAGCAGCGATGGGAGCACTAGTAAGAACTTCCCCACTGCAGAACTTTGACTCTGACCACCATCCTGAAGCTATTGCAGTGGCATTGGTACTGCTGCTGGTGCTGGTGCTGGTATTGGTACTAGCACTAGTACTGGCGCCTAGTAGAGACTCCGTAGTTGTAGTTCGCTCCTCTGTTTTACTAGAGTTCTGAACTGGCACTCTAGTCTCACCAGATGCTATTACAGACGCCGTTGTCATTGCCATCATCAGGGAAATTTTACGCTGCTGCTGTAATCTATGTTGTGCACTAGTACTCGTGGTTGGCGGTGTATCGCTGTACGTTGACAGACTGTCAGCATTGTAGTTGCTCTCCTGGTATTCACTGTAGTCTAAGGGCAACATAGAGGTGTACGGCCTTGCCATTTGTCCGAATGCGTCGTACGTACTGGTCCCAGTGGCCACTACAGGTGGGGCCATACATAGTGATGTCATGGCTAGGCCACCCACAGACGGATCTTCTTCGTATGTCGAATCTGCATTTAAATCAAATAAATGTTGACTTAAACTTGAGCGCTGCGCTGGTCGTGCTCGTATTCTCGGCAAGACACGCAATGGTGCTGCTGTCGCCCTACTATCTTCAAATGTTTCTGCATAGCCAGTATGTCCGTTAAGGTTGTTTTCGTAGACATTATGGAAGGCGCCCGAACCATGGTCTATTGCACTATCATTGTCATGTGCATGGGGCAAGCAGGCACCATGGTGTCTGGTGGTCTCTCTCTGCGGGTACATATACATACCTTCCACATCCACATCCACATCCAGATCCAGATCCAACTCCATATCCATTCCAATGGCCCCGCGAACCGACGGGCCCCCGTTAGCGGCACCGTTACTACTATCATTTTGATTGGCCGGCAGCAAAGGCAATAATTTAGTTGAGGTACATTTTTGATTTCCATATCCAAAGCCATATTCAGCTGTGATAACCGTATTATTTCCATCCCAGTTGTCGGTATCTCCAGCTCCTCCTTTCACACCTTGCTTGTGGTCTTCCTTACCATAGTAATCTACATAATCGTTATTATAGCTGCTATCTACATGTGTAAGTTCTGTCCCACTGGTCCAAATCCGCTCGCTACCATAACCTAGTGGTTGGCTTAGTGGGTTTCTTAGATCACTGTACTCATCGTAGTACTCTGAGTTGTCATTTGCTCTATAGGGATTATTGCTGTTGTTTGCTTGACGACTGTTTGTTGATAAGGCATCATTTGTTTCATTATAGAAGTAGTCGTGCGGTACATAATGCTGAAATAAATCAATCCGATTATAATTTGTATGCCATCATTTTGGGTCTGCTCTGTTCTGTACTTTACCGTCATATTTTAAGGTTTGTTTGCTCCCACAAGAGTGATCTGGTTCCGTTTTCCGAAAGTCTCTGCTCAAAACTGATCCTATAACTGGGTGGCATTGTAGCGTCGCCCTAGCACCAGAAAATACACATAAATACCTATGGATATATTACGATGGAAATACCTTTATTAAATATCAAAGGACTATTGTATAAAGATAGGTCCATTCATAAACACATTCATACATGCATACGTACAAAAATACATAAATACATAGATACATATATGTACATACATATGTATGTACTGATTAGTCTAGTTTAGATGTCGATTACCGAAACATTTCCACGATTTGCTTTGTTTTTTACACTTTACTAACCACCACACACACATTACACGCTATATGTGCATTAGTATTTGTATTTGCATTCTCATTTGCATTTGTATTGGCACTTGCATTTGTATTTAAGTAGTTGATCATCATGAACTGAACCATACGATAAGTAACACAAAATACACTTGGCATACCCTTTCCGTGTATATGTACAGTACATACATATAGGATATACTTAACAAGTGCACTCCAATTGGCACAGGCCCATGCACAAATGTATGTACACAAATGTATGCATGCATGCATAATACGTATGTATGTGGATTATTCCGTAGCATACCACTAGGCTGGGCTGCACACCCACAGATTTTAATCACATTATTCACATTCAGTTCCAGTTATGTTTTTGTTATTCATCTGCATATGTACATATGTACATATATATATATATATATATATATATATATTTGTATATGTATATGTTTATGTATGTAAGTACGTTTTTAGAACATATTGCATGTAATAGGCCATTGATTTGTATTTATTTAATTGCATTTTTTGAAGAGTTCTCAGATTTGATTTGATTCATTCATTTCCAATGGATTGAAATTGAACCATTTGCGGTTTTGATTTTCATTGAATTGTGCTGGACTAAACTTTTCATGTTAAGCGCACCATTAAGAATATTTGTAAGCACCTTATTTAAAAGCTTTTGCGCTTTTTAGCTTATGCGTTAAGTAATAAATCTTCCCACCATTTTGAAATTTATTTATTTGTAACTTCGTTTTTCTTTGTACAGAGCAACTGAAAAATGATTATTTTGTATTGTATAATTCGTATTGAGTAAAACACACCGGACATGCGCAAAAGAACAAGAGAATGACAGTTGCGCAGCTGAGAGCTTAGATATCAACGCTATTCGAAGAGAATTTTACAACAGCTGTCAGCTCTGAAGTGTTGCCACATAACTGATATGCCAAATGGATAACAGAACAGGCATGGGCATACTAGGTCCTGGAGCCCCTACAGTTGAACCTGATCTCTCAGCTTTATTTAACGTGGCGGTTCCACAGGAAGGGATTTCAACCACGGTGTTTAATATGCTCTGTGCAATGCACATATCACGGTAAATCTGGTACAAATGCACCTATTAACGCCCCAGAATAAGAAGCTATAGCAAATACAAAGCGACTCATCCTGGTACCAATTCGAAAGTATACTAGTCGGGCATACTTTCCCCCTTGGTGAAAGGATGTAATGGAATTCCTTTACATGCTAGACATTCGTACGTTACTCGCCACCCCATTAGGTCAGATATATGTTATTATATTACGCACTGCTTCCGTCAAACCAAGCACGTTAGGGACTTATCATACCCGATACTCAAAGAGTATAGGGAATTATTAGTTTTGTGTAGACGTGTGTAAAAGCCAGAAGCAAGCGTAATTTCTATCTTGATCCAAATATTTAGTTCTAAGGCTTTAAATATTTTTAAATGAAGCCATTTAAGAAATTTTAATTTTAAACTAGAGGGAACGTTGGGAGTCGCTTCTGTCGCCGCGACTCTACTTTTATACTCAGTACTCAGTCGGTATGTATATACATGATGAGGCTATGATTTATGTGGAATTTCTAAATATTTTAATTATTTACATTTGTTTCTGCATCTGCCATCTACATCTACAATGTAGAGTAAACCTCTCCTCCGCCAGAGGGCGCACGAGGTAGAGGGAATTAATTGGGAGTGCAGCAATGGAAGAGGGTGGGTTGGCAACTGAAAATTAATTTCTTCATTCTGTCTATAATAATAATTCCATCTGATCCATATTCGTCATTCTTGTAGATGTGGTCATTCTCTTTGATAATGCTCATTTTGCGGGCGAAATTTTGATGTAAACTTGTAACAAACAGGGTGTATTGATGCAGATCAAGAAAATATTAAATATGCTTTTCGGAAACGTTTCCTTCTCTGCGTTACACACATATTACAGCGAGTCAATGTCATTTGACGAATGTTTTCTAGTGGAAAGGTGGTGACCAACTCGCAAGATCAAAGATTAAAAGATCAAGATTAAAACCAAATTTTCTAGCCGATATACATATGTAGAATTAACTCTTTCATTACTGTTTCGTGTGAAGCTCCTTCTGGTCTCTTCGCTTGTGTTATCTGTTTCGTATCTTCGGGTTGAGCCGAGACACGCTCGTGTCTCACAATAATATTTGGAAAATCGGTCATGCATATTATTGTGTAGGTACATATGAATATAGGTAAATTTTGTATTAAACAGAGTTAAGCTTAACCACTAACAAGGAATTCAGATTTTCCGCACTTAGAGAGCAAAAGACACTCTTTCGTTCGCTCGTGGCGTCGTTGCTCTGTGAAAAACAGTAATGAAACAGAATTGCAAAATCGGATCTTTGCTTGAGCGAAATGAGCAAAGACAGATTTGATCGTGTCTTTTCTGTCTACATCGCAATGTGTCCGTAAATGAGACGTTTTTTTCAGACACCCCGAAAGTGTTGACCGTTTTTTTGTGATCTATGCTTTGTATACCCGGTACTCGAAGAGTCCATGTCTGTCTGTCCGTCCGTTCCGAAAATCTGTGTTATCCGCTTTTTTAAGGATACGAGAAAACCGTAATAAACCGTATACCGAAAAAAATAGCACCATTAGACCTTTTTTGGTGAATTCCCTGTATTTCGCGGAATTGCCTTTGTAGCATGCACGTGTTCATTCGTTTTTACTAAGAATTCACTGTTTATATCATAAAAGTTAAAAATAATAATTATAATGGGACGTGGAAAGCACTATCGAAAAATTGATATTGGATGGAAAACCTTACAGGGAAGTTGGTCGATTGGTAGGATGCTCTAATAAAATGATTTAAAACGCGTGCGTATTCACGAGTACGTAAATATCATGGAGACAGTTGATTCCATGCCAAGACGCTGCGCAGCTGTTGTTGCCAATAAAAGACACCGTACTAAATATTAATTTATGCATATAGATTTAGTTTTAATAGTTCAAAATGGGTAACTAATGCATTCGTTACTTATTGCTTATGTTTTGTAAGGTTCCTATTTCAGGCTGGGATATGCATCAGTCTGTCCAGGGTCCGCTACAAGAAAATTTGTAGATTGCTGGAACTTTTAGGTTCAGAGTGTCTGACCTTGTCTGACCGAAAGAGAGGTAGGTGACAGGGGGAGCGTTGTGTTGCTGACGAAAATACTTCAAGAATCGTGGTTGGTGTCTTTGCTGGCGTTGTTATTTTTATTAATTAATTTCTTCGTGGGTTTATTTACAATGGATTACTCGCGGATCTTGTTGCTTGGCCTGTGGTCTGATGGACTGCCTAGTGCAGCGTCTTGGGTTTGTGACTGTCTAGTGCAGTGTCTTGTGTTTGGGCTGATGGACTGCCTGCTCTTTCGGCCGATCTTGGCCCTTTTATGCAGCTGGCGATCGCACCTGAGACCCGGAAATAATTAATTATTGCTTACTTATGATTATTGGGTGACAATAATTGTGGGTCAGTGTGGTTTTGATGAGACTGCATCCCGGAAGGTGCGGGCTGCAGTTTCGAATTGGGCTTCGAAATGGGTTTGCCAACTCTGCAGCGGGGAAGGTGATAGCTGAGTGGTAAGTCGATGACCTGAGGCCGAATGGTTGCGAAAATCGCCAAAAAGTGGGTGGCCTAGAATTTTGTGCTGTTTTTGTTTTTGCTGATTGCGAAATAATGCAGAATGGGTAGAGTTGTTGATCGAGAGTTCTTAATTTTAGTAATTGCATGAGTTGCTTAAGACTATTTTATTTTCCTAAGTGCTGACGCACCGCTATTTGTGGAGAACCGTGCTTCGTTGGCTCTGTGTATATCAGTTTGATTATTGTTGCCGACCAGCGTGGATGCGCTGACACTCCGCCGTTTGTGACGGGCCATGGCTAGAAACATGGTTCGTTACAGTTTTAAATTTTTAATCCATTTTTGAAAAGTGGTGTTTTTTTTTCGCCTAGTCTTATCAATTTCAATAAAGTTCCTTAAATATCTTCAAAACGTCACAAAAAATATGATTTTTTTGTATTCCCAGAGTAAAAGTCTCCCATTTCTAAAAATTTGCTTACAGTTTCCTTAAAGTTATTATTTTTTCAGAGCAGTATATATACCAGATTGATTAACACGGATTAGATAGGATCATTAAAGTGCGACCAAAATGGAGCGATCACGAATAGGTCCCCCTTCCCCGTGTTAACAAACAAATCAATTCCTCTCTTTTACGAAGAGCGACACCAAAAGACACAGAGAAAGAGCATGCGGCAATTATAATTGTAGGCTCTACGCTTACGTCTAAAATATATTGTATAGGTTAGATAAATACCCGCATTTCACAGTTTTTCCGCTCGTTTGTTTTTAGTTTTCTGTCAAAAAAATTAAACCATAAAAAGAAAATAAAGTACTACAAAAATTTTTAAGTCCCGAAATCTATCAGAAAAGGTAATTTTGGTCCACAGCATAAAGAAGAAGTTATATATTGTCGAGTAGTGATTACACTACTCGACAAAATCGAACTTTTTTTTTCCTCAAGGATCCAAACCGACTTTTTCTGATAGATATGGGGATTTAAAATTTTTTAAAGAATTATGGTTTTTTTCTATGGCAGAACTTTTTTTTGAAGAATTTTTGAAGTCTGGTATTTTTTTTTTTAGCTTTTTTCAGAGGTAGCGATAGTTTTTTTCACATAACTTTAGTATCTTACGTCTGGTTGTAAAGAACTTTGCTATTGTGAAAAGATAATTAAAACAGCTAGAAGTTAAGCCCAAACACTTTGTGATTACAGCTTACCGTCTGGGAAATATAAAGCATTGAAATGCAAAAATGATGATTTTTGTGCGGTATTTTTTACGAAATTTTGACTTTAAAAACTCAGGAAAAGTCGAAAAAAAATTATATCTTGTGTCCTCTATTTTTTTGTGTATAGGTGCGTTAATTTGGCGTCGTTTAAGGTATCGCTCATTAAAATCTATGGAGAGACTTTGGAGCTAAAATTCGTTAACTAAACCTAAAATATGGAAAAAATTAACAAAAAATACCTTTTGGAAGGTTGCGAACTCAACTGCCCATTGGGAACAAAGGAACGCGATCAGGTACCAAATGTACAACCCTTTTTCTTTCGCTTTTTTCCCAATTGGTAGTTGGGCCCGCAACCTACCAAAAGGTATTTTTTGTGCATTTTTTCCATATTTTAGGTTTGGTTAACGAATTTTAGCTCCAAGCTCTCCATAGATTTTAATGAGCGATACCTCAAACGACGCCAATTAACGCACCTATACACAAAAATGAGGACACAAGATATAATTTTTCTTCGACTTTTCCTGAGTTTTTAAAGTCAAAATTTCGTAAAAAATACCGCACAAAAATCATCATTTTTGCATTTCAATGCTTTATATTTCCCAGACGGTAAGCTGTAATCACAAAGTGTTTGGGCTTCACTTCTAGCTGTTTTAATTATCTTTTCACAATAGCAAAGTTCTTTACAACCAGACGTAAGATACTAAAGTTATGTGAAAAACTATCGCTACCTCTGAAAAAAGCTTTAAAAAAATACCAGATTTAAAAAATTCTTCAAAAAAAAGTTCTGCCATAGAAAAAAAAAAATATCATCAAACCATTTCTAAGCCCCAAATCTTTAATAAAAAGTTGGTTTTGTTCCTTGAGGAAAAATCGTGTTGACTAGTGTTATAATCAAAAGCAACAAAAATAGTTACACGAATTGCAATTTTTTTTTAGAAAAAAATTGTTAATACAAAAAGGAGACCTCGTAAGATGGCAAATCTACTTGGCAAGTATTTGTCCAGGTATGGGAAGTGCCTTCCGATCGCGTTGGTTTTTAACCTGGTATTCGTTTGCATCGGAAACGGAATCCAATTACAAATTTTCATCCATATGCAAAGTTTGATGTATTCGAAATTGTTAAAAATTATTTTTTTTTATTTGTTTTTTTTTTTAGAGAAAATTTACACGTCTGCTTCCAATGGCAGTCAAAGATCAAATGAAAACGAGAAGGAACGTGTGAGTGGCTTCTGGGGACGCGAATCTACTTATACCCGTACTCAGTCAGTATATAAATTTTTGAGCATATAATTTTTTAGAATTTTAGAATTTAAAAAAAAATTTTACATTTAACATTATTTTGCTACATATGTTATCTACATCTACTATGTATATTCTACATCTAACATGAAGATTCTACATGTACCAATTACCTGTACCTCTGAAAAAAAAACATTAAAAAATACCAGATTTTAAAAAATTCTTTAAAAAAAAACTAAACTATAAAAAAAAACATAATTCGTTAAAAAATTGTAAACCCCGAAATCTATAAGAAAAATTCATTTTGGGCCACAGCCTAATTGTCGTGTTGACTAGTGTTATCCATGTATCAATAGACCAATTCAGCATGCTTCTCTCCGTCATGTCCATTGTGACAGCATTAAGTATCCAATTATCTGTTTTATGTTGATGATGTGTTAAAGTTTTTGATGGACGATGATTCTGGCTGTTATTCGATCCCTCTCAATATATATTCATCGTGTCTCTTACAGCAAGGGATTTTCAATGTTCCTATCTAAATAGTAATTGAAAAGACATTTTTTTTATCCAGCTTTTGAATTATTTTCTAGAGCCATACCTTTATAAATATACCATTTACCTTACCCAATCTACTTAATATTTGATATTGAGTAGATTTTTTAATTATTGCTTAACATATTTCCATTGTTACCTACCATTCAATCTGTAAATCTGAAAGCTTAGTTATAGTATTTACTGTAGTGTTTTCGAAGTAGGTTTTAAATCTGAAAGCTTAGTTATAGTATTTAGTGTAGTGTTTTCGAAGTAGGTTTTATATTTTTTAGCGGCGCAAAGTGTATTCTGACTGATAACGTTCTTGGCGCCTCTTACCGTTCACATGTTTGATTTACTGGGCATTTATAAAGTGAGTATTTATTTAAGTACTAGTTTATTTCGTTTTTTTCCGATTATTCAGCACGTAATTTATTCCCGAATCACAGAACACGCCAGTGTTATAGGCTTTGCAAGTGTAACTGTAGTTAGATTTGATTTCAAACTGTTATATATTTTCTTAAAAGAGTTATATGTACATATATTTAATTTTTTAAGTAAAATACGCATGTGATGTTTCCGTTTGTTGTTTTTCACCTTTAAAAACATTATATTTAAAACTTTATCGTTCTGTTCAAGTTACAAATAGATGGATAATCTCTTAGAGATAGAAACATAATCGATTATTCAGTTAAATCTATAAGCTGTACTGGGAAATTCTATTTTCACTTTAATCTGTTTTTTTTTTCACTTCCAAATTGGGATTCGTATAAATTTTCTAAATTCGCCTTCGCGTACATTTGTAGCTGTCTATTTAGTAGTCGTGTTATCGAACTAGACTAGCCAAAGCAATTCTTGTCCCTTTTTGTGGTGTTCTATAGCTATATTGTAAGAGCAACCATTTATAACTAGGAATTTCCTCTGGGTTCGCATTATTGCATGTACTCGTAATGCAAGGACCACAATATCTATTAAGATAAGTCCATATCGTATCATAGTTATACTGATAAAGAGCTCTCTTCACAAACCAGCTTTCTGTTTAATTAATTTTATTACAAATTTAAATATATTGTTTTTTTTTTTTCTCCTAACGCGCTGTCCATGTCAACTGTGCTGCTTTAGTTGGTTTCATCATTGAATATTGAGTTAAAGAAGGGATTAAGACTTTTTACAGCAACGCCTAATAATGAAAATAAAAACCAAATCAAGTATTGATAAAAAGAGCGTGAGTTTTTTGCTCTTACCCTTCCCAGCGGATTGATCCTTTGAATCACGCCATTTACATAGCGACTCCTTCTGTATAACATAGGTATCATATAGCTCACCAATTAGTTCACTCAATAAACCTAAACCAATCAAGAAATAATATATGTATATGTAAATGCTATATGCACATGTATTTTCATACCTCTAGGATGCTCTAAGCTATGCACCAGTAACTGCATAGAATAAAGGCATTCCAATTGATGATCTTCATGCGAGTAGATGTATCGCTGCAAAACTGGTATGCAAAACTTTTGGAAGATTTCGGGCTCAAGTTTGTAGCTGTTCTCCTTGTAGACAATTGCAAAATTACACAACGTTTCAGTCAAGCCTCTAATAAATAGTTTATCAGCCACCAAAATATTGCCCTGAGGGAATCATCAAAAAAGGAATTTTGTTATTATTAAATAACAAGTACTTCAAACAACTACGAGACTTACGTTACTGTAATCGATGATGCAGTCTGCCGTCGCTCCTTCCTTTAGCAAATGTTCTATATGTTCTATCACATTTTTAACGTGCTTCTCTGGTGTCTCCCGCTGCTCAATCACTGGCGACTTCGACTCGTTTTCGACATACTCTAGTCTCTGTCTCAAATGATATATAAATAATTGAAGTTACATCTTTACATTTGTATGTCATTTAGGTGACAAACTTACATTGGTCTCAATGAAATCGATAACTTCGTTGTCAGGCATAAAGTCGGACCAGTGCAGGTTGAACTTGATCCACATGGAACGGGTGAAGTTCGGTCCTACTTCTCGTGTACAATATGTCAAATAGGTTTTGAGGAACTTTTTACCCACGTTTGATGGGCTGTTGTCTTTCAGATAATTGTTCCACAGATCTGATACCGTCAATATTTTCTTTACAATTAGTGGCCCTGCGAAGGAATCGATTAATGACATGTCAGAAATGGAAGTCATGCTTTTGTATTACCGGCAAATTGCAGAATATACAGCCAGAGCTCTGGAATATAAAAAATTAAATCGTTTGCGCACTCGGCAAATTCTTTGTACGCCAGTCTAAAGTGATCCACGGAGATGTAGTTATGTTGTATGAGATGCGCCACGGTAATGGCCAGATACCGTCTGTACTGTTTTCCTACATTCGCCAGATGCAAATAATCGGTTAATATGTAGTACAAGAAACCACAACACATGTCCTCTGGTATCCTCTTCATACACCCAACTACCGTCGGAGTTACACTTTTGGATGCAGCAGCCAGCTCAATCATTTCCGAGACAACCGCCTTGATGAGCTTTATGTCAGCATCACTGGGCTCGCTGAACACGGCCACCGGTGCCACTGATCGATTTATCTGTACGGAAGTTGTATCGGCACTGGTACTAGACGCAGCTGACTGCTGATCGCCACCTCTGTAAAGGCCTCCAACGTTGATAGCAGAACTTCCTAGTGAGCTTTGTGCCTGTTTGTGAATAAAATATTTATACAATTATTTATTAGAGACCAAGCTAATAATTATATGATTCAGTTTGTCTTTCATGGGCCAACTAAAACACTTTAGTTCCGTTTTTTGGAGCCAAAACTTTAAAATCAAAAGTTTTAGCCTGCTGTTCGAGTTTCGCTGACCATGACAACCGATCCGATTAAATTACGTCTGAATCCTTTCCTACTAACAAAGTGGGAAAAATAAACAGGATTTTGTTAGCTACCTTGCCAGTAATTCGAGCTGATGGAGCCTGTTGTGTATATTTTGAGTGACTAGCAGACTTCTGAACTGAAGAGTTCATCAAGCCGCGACCCTGCTGTCCAGCGCGAGAAGATGAATTCTCCCGCGATCCCTGTGATGATCCAGAGACTTTGGAGCTAAAATTCGTTAACTAAACCTAAAATATGGAAAAAATTAACAAAAAATACCTTTTGGAAGGTTGCGAACTCAACTGCCCATTGGGAACAAAGGAACGCGATCAGGTACCAAATGTACAACCCTTTTTCTTTCGCTTTTTTCCCAATTGGTAGTTGGGCCCGCAACCTACCAAAAGGTATTTTTTGTGCATTTTTTCCATATTTTAGGTTTGGTTAACGAATTTTAGCTCCAAAGTCTCTCCATAGATTTTAATGAGCGATACCTCAAACGACGCCAAATTAACGCACCTATACACAAAAAAATAGAGGACACAAGATATAATTTTTCTTCGACTTTTCCTGAGTTTTTAAAGTCAAAATTTCGTAAAAAATACCGCACAAAAATCATCATTTTTGCATTTCAATGCTTTATATTTCCCAGACGGTAAGCTGTAATCACAAAGTGTTTGGGCTTCACTTCTAGCTGTTTTAATTATCTTTTCACAATAGCAAAGTTCTTTACAACCAGACGTAAGATACTAAAGTTATGTGAAAAAAACTATCGCTACCTCTGAAAAAAGCTTTAAAAAAAATACCAGATTTAAAAAATTCTTCAAAAAAAAGTTCTGCCATAGAAAAAAAAAAATATCCTCAAACCATTTCTAAGCCCCAAATCTTTAATAAAAAGTTGGTTTTGTTCCTTGAGGAAAAATCGTGTTGACTAGTGTTATAATCAAAAGCAACAAAAATAGTTACACGAATTGCAATTTTTTTTAGAAAAAAATTGTTAATACAAAAAGGAGACCTCGTAAGATGGCAAATCTACTTGGCAAGTATTTGTCCAGGTATGGGAAGTGCCTTCCGATCGCGTTGGTTTTTAACCTGGTATTCGTTTGCATCGGAAACGGAATCCAATTACAAATTTTCATCCATATGCAAAGTTTGATGTATTCGAAATTGTTAAAAATTATTTTTTTTTATTTGTTTTTTTTTTTAGAGAAAATTTACACGTCTGCTTCCAATGGCAGTCAAAGATCAAATGAAAACGAGAAGGAACGTGTGAGTGGCTTCTGGGGACGCGAATCTACTTATACCCGTACTCAGTCAGTATATAAATTTTTGAGCATATAATTTTTTAGAATTTTAGAATTTAAAAAAAAATTTTACATTTAACATTATTTTGCTACATATGTTATCTACATCTACTATGTATATTCTACATCTAACATGAAGATTCTACATGTACCAATTACCTGTACCTCTGAAAAAAAAAACATTAAAAAATACCAGATTTTAAAAAATTCTTTAAAAAAAAACTAAACTATAAAAAAAAACATAATTCGTTAAAAAATTGTAAACCCCGAAATCTATAAGAAAAATTCATTTTGGGCCACAGCCTAATTGTCGTGTTGACTAGTGTTATCCATGTATCAATAGACTCAATTCAGCATGCTTCTCTCCGTCATGTCCATTGTGACAGCATTAAGTATCCAATTATCTGTTTTATGTTGATGATGTGTTAAAGTTTTTGATGGACGATGATTCTGGCTGTTATTCGATCCCTCTCAATATATATTCATCGTGTCTCTTACAGCAAGGGATTTTCAATGTTCCTATCTAAATAGTAATTGAAAAGACATTTTTTTTATCCAGCTTTTGAATTATTTTCTAGAGCCATACCTTTATAAATATACCATTTACCTTACCCAATCTACTTAATATTTGATATTGAGTAGATTTTTTAATTATTGCTTAACATATTTCCATTGTTACCTACCATTCAATCTGTAAATCTGAAAGCTTAGTTATAGTATTTACTGTAGTGTTTTCGAAGTAGGTTTTAAATCTGAAAGCTTAGTTATAGTATTTAGTGTAGTGTTTTCGAAGTAGGTTTTATATTTTTTAGCGGCGCAAAGTGTATTCTGACTGATAACGTTCTTGGCGCCTCTTACCGTTCACATGTTTGATTTACTGGGCATTTATAAAGTGAGTATTTATTTAAGTACTAGTTTATTTCGTTTTTTTCCGATTATTCAGCACGTAATTTATTCCCGAATCACAGAACACGCCAGTGTTATAGGCTTTGCAAGTGTAACTGTAGTTAGATTTGATTTCAAACTGTTATATATTTTCTTAAAAGAGTTATATGTACATATATTTAATTTTTTAAGTAAAATACGCATGTGATGTTTCCGTTTGTTGTTTTTCACCTTTAAAAACATTATATTTAAAACTTTATCGTTCTGTTCAAGTTACAAATAGATGGATAATCTCTTAGAGATAGAAACATAATCGATTATTCAGTTAAATCTATAAGCTGTACTGGGAAATTCTATTTTCACTTTAATCTGTTTTTTTTTTCACTTCCAAATTGGGATTCGTATAAATTTTCTAAATTCGCCTTCGCGTACATTTGTAGCTGTCTATTTAGTAGTCGTGTTATCGAACTAGACTAGCCAAAGCAATTCTTGTCCCTTTTTGTGGTGTTCTATAGCTATATTGTAAGAGCAACCATTTATAACTAGGAATTTCCTCTGGGTTCGCTTTATTTTACATATGTTATACACTTTCATATTATTGCATGTACTCGTAATGCAAGGACCACAATATCTATTAAGATAAGTCCATATCGTATCATAGTTATACTGATAAAGAGCTCTCTTCACAAACCAGCTTTCTGTTTAATTAATTTTATTACAAATTTAAATATATTGTTTTTTTTTATTCTCCTAACGCGCTGTCCATGTCAACTGTGCTGCTTTAGTTGGTTTCATCATTGAATATTGAGTTAAAGAAGGGATTAAGACTTTTTACAGCAACGCCTAATAATGAAAATAAAAACCAAATCAAGTATTGATAAAAAGAGCGTGAGTTTTTTGCTCTTACCCTTCCCAGCGGATTGATCCTTTGAATCACGCCATTTACATAGCGACTCCTTCTGTATAACATAGGTATCATATAGCTCACCAATTAGTTCACTCAATAAACCTAAACCAATCAAGAAATAATATATGTATATGTAAATGCTATATGCACATGTATTTTCATACCTCTAGGATGCTCTAAGCTATGCACCAGTAACTGCATAGAATAAAGGCATTCCAATTGATGATCTTCATGCGAGTAGATGTATCGCTGCAAAACTGGTATGCAAAACTTTTGGAAGATTTCGGGCTCAAGTTTGTAGCTGTTCTCCTTGTAGACAATTGCAAAATTACACAACGTTTCAGTCAAGCCTCTAATAAATAGTTTATCAGCCACCAAAATATTGCCCTGAGGGAATCATCAAAAAAGGAATTTTGTTATTATTAAATAACAAGTACTTCAAACAACTACGAGACTTACGTTACTGTAATCGATGATGCAGTCTGCCGTCGCTCCTTCCTTTAGCAAATGTTCTATATGTTCTATCACATTTTTAACGTGCTTCTCTGGTGTCTCCCGCTGCTCAATCACTGGCGACTTCGACTCGTTTTCGACATACTCTAGTCTCTGTCTCAAATGATATATAAATAATTGAAGTTACATCTTTACATTTGTATGTCATTTAGGTGACAAACTTACATTGGTCTCAATGAAATCGATAACTTCGTTGTCAGGCATAAAGTCGGACCAGTGCAGGTTGAACTTGATCCACATGGAACGGGTGAAGTTCGGTCCTACTTCTCGTGTACAATATGTCAAATAGGTTTTGAGGAACTTTTTACCCACGTTTGATGGGCTGTTGTCTTTCAGATAATTGTTCCACAGATCTGATACCGTCAATATTTTCTTTACAATTAGTGGCCCTGCGAAGGAATCGATTAATGACATGTCAGAAATGGAAGTCATGCTTTTGTATTACCGGCAAATTGCAGAATATACAGCCAGAGCTCTGGAATATCAAAAATTAAATCGTTTGCGCACTCGGCAAATTCTTTGTACGCCAGTCTAAAGTGATCCACGGAGATGTAGTTATGTTGTATGAGATGCGCCACGGTAATGGCCAGATACCGTCTGTACTGTTTTCCTACATTCGCCAGATGCAAATAATCGGTTAATATGTAGTACAAGAAACCACAACACATGTCCTCTGGTATCCGCTTCATACACCCAACTACCGTCGGAGTTACACTTTTGGATGCAGCAGCCAGCTCAATCATTTCCGAGACAACCGCCTTGATGAGCTTTATGTCAGCATCACTGGGCTCGCTGAACACGGCCACCGGTGCCACTGATCGATTTATCTGTACGGAAGTTGTATCGGCACTGGTACTAGACGCAGCTGACTGCTGATCGCCACCTCTGTAAAGGCCTCCAACGTTGATAGCAGAACTTCCTAGTGAGCTTTGTGCCTGTTTGTGAATAAAATATTTATACAATTATTTATTAGAGACCAAGCTAATAATTATATGATTCAGTTTGTCTTTCATGGGCCAACTAAAACACTTTAGTTCCGTTTTTGGAGCCAAAACTTTAAAATCAAAAGTTTTAGCCTGCTGTTCGAGTTTCGCTGACCATGACAACCGATCCGATTAAATTACGTCTGAATCCTTTCCTACTAACAAAGTGGGAAAAATAAACAGGATTTTGTTAGCTACCTTGCCAGTAATTCGAGCTGATGGAGCCTGTTGTGTATATTTTGAGTGACTAGCAGACTTCTGAACTGAAGAGTTCATCAAGCCGCGACCCTGCTGTCCAGCGCGAGAAGACGAATTCTCCCGCGATCCCTGTGATGATCCAGAGACTTTGGAGCTAAAATTCGTTAACTAAACCTAAAATATGGAAAAAATTAACAAAAAATACCTTTTGGAAGGTTGCGAACTCAACTGCCCATTGGGAACAAAGGAACGCGATCAGGTACCAAATGTACAACCCTTTTTCTTTCGCTTTTTTCCCAATTGGTAGTTGGGCCCGCAACCTACCAAAAGGTATTTTTTGTGCATTTTTTCCATATTTTAGGTTTGGTTAACGAATTTTAGCTCCAAAGTCTCTCCCATAGATTTTAATGAGCGATACCTCAAACGACGCCAAATTAACGCACCTATACACAAAAAAATAGAGGACACAAGATATAATTTTTCTTCGACTTTTCCTGAGTTTTTAAAGTCAAAATTTCGTAAAAAATACCGCACAAAAATCATCATTTTTGCATTTCAATGCTTTATATTTCCCAGACGGTAAGCTGTAATCACAAAGTGTTTGGGCTTCACTTCTAGCTGTTTTAATTATCTTTTCACAATAGCAAAGTTCTTTACAACCAGACGTAAGATACTAAAGTTATGTGAAAAAAACTATCGCTACCTCTGAAAAAAGCTTTAAAAAAAATACCAGATTTAAAAAATTCTTCAAAAAAAAGTTCTGCCATAGAAAAAAAAAAATATCCTCAAACCATTTCTAAGCCCCAAATCTTTAATAAAAAGTTGGTTTTGTTCCTTGAGGAAAAATCGTGTTGACTAGTGTTATAATCAAAAGCAACAAAAATAGTTACACGAATTGCAATTTTTTTTAGAAAAAAATTGTTAATACAAAAAGGAGACCTCGTAAGATGGCAAATCTACTTGGCAAGTATTTGTCCAGGTATGGGAAGTGCCTTCCGATCGCGTTGGTTTTTAACCTGGTATTCGTTTGCATCGGAAACGGAATCCAATTACAAATTTTCATCCATATGCAAAGTTTGATGTATTCGAAATTGTTAAAAATTATTTTTTTTTATGTTTTTTTTTTTAGAGAAAATTTACACGTCTGCTTCCAATTACAGTCAAAGATCAAATGAAAACGAGAAGGAACGTGTGAGTGGCTTCTGGGGACGCGAATCTACTTATACCCGTACTCAGTCAGTATATAAATTTTTGAGCATATAATTTTTTAGAATTTTAGAATTTAAAAAAAAATTTTACATTTAACATTATTTTGCTACATATGTTATCTACATCTACTATGTATATTCTACATCTAACATGAAGATTCTACATGTACCAATTACCTGTACCTCTGAAAAAAAAAACATTAAAAAATACCAGATTTTAAAAAATTCTTTAAAAAAAAACTAAACTATAAAAAAAAACATAATTCGTTAAAAAATTGTAAACCCCGAAATCTATAAGAAAAATTCATTTTGGGCCACAGCCTAATTGTCGTGTTGACTAGTGTTATCCATGTATCAATAGACTCAATTCAGCATGCTTCTCTCCGTCATGTCCATTGTGACAGCATTAAGTATCCAATTTTCTGTTTTATGTTGATGATGTGTTAAAGTTTTTGATGGACGATGATTCTGGCTGTTATTCGATCCCTCTCAATATATATTCATCGTGTCTCTTACAGCAAGGGATTTTCAATGTTCCTATCTAAATAGTAATTGAAAAGACATTTTTTTTATCCAGCTTTTGAATTATTTTCTAGAGCCATACCTTTATAAATATACCATTTACCTTACCCAATCTACTTAATATTTGATATTGAGTAGATTTTTTAATTATTGCTTAACATATTTCCATTGTTACCTACCATTCAATCTGTAAATCTGAAAGCTTAGTTATAGTATTTACTGTAGTGTTTTCGAAGTAGGTTTTAAATCTGAAAGCTTAGTTATAGTATTTAGTGTAGTGTTTTCGAAGTAGGTTTTATATTTTTTAGCGGCGCAAAGTGTATTCTGACTGATAACGTTCTTGGCGCCTCTTACCGTTCACATGTTTGATTTACTGGGCATTTATAAAGTGAGTATTTATTTAAGTACTAGTTTATTTCGTTTTTTTCCGATTATTCAGCACGTAATTTATTCCCGAATCACAGAACACGCCAGTGTTATAGGCTTTGCAAGTGTAACTGTAGTTAGATTTGATTTCAAACTGTTATATATTTTCTTAAAAGAGTTATATGTACATATATTTAATTTTTTAAGTAAAATACGCATGTGATGTTTCCGTTTGTTGTTTTTCACCTTTAAAAACATTATATTTAAAACTTTATCGTTCTGTTCAAGTTACAAATAGATGGATAATCTCTTAGAGATAGAAACATAATCGATTATTCAGTTAAATCTATAAGCTGTACTGGGAAATTCTATTTTCACTTTAATCTGTTTTTTTTTTCACTTCCAAATTGGGATTCGTATAAATTTTCTAAATTCGCCTTCGCGTACATTTGTAGCTGTCTATTTAGTAGTCGTGTTATCGAACTAGACTAGCCAAAGCAATTCTTGTCCCTTTTTGTGGTGTTCTATAGCTATATTGTAAGAGCAACCATTTATAACTAGGAATTTCCTCTGGGTTCGCATTATTGCATGTACTCGTAATGCAAGGACCACAATATCTATTAAGATAAGTCCATATCGTATCATAGTTATACTGATAAAGAGCTCTCTTCACAAACCAGCTTTCTGTTTAATTAATTTTATTACAAATTTAAATATATTGTTTTTTTTTATTCTCCTAACGCGCTGTCCATGTCAACTGTGCTGCTTTAGTTGGTTTCATCATTGAATATTGAGTTAAAGAAGGGATTAAGACTTTTTACAGCAACGCCTAATAATGAAAATAAAAACCAAATCAAGTATTGATAAAAAGAGCGTGAGTTTTTTGCTCTTACCCTTCCCAGCGGATTGATCCTTTGAATCACGCCATTTACATAGCGACTCCTTCTGTATAACATAGGTATCATATAGCTCACCAATTAGTTCACTCAATAAACCTAAACCAATCAAGAAATAATATATGTATATGTAAATGCTATATGCACATGTATTTTCATACCTCTAGGATGCTCTAAGCTATGCACCAGTAACTGCATAGAATAAAGGCATTCCAATTGATGATCTTCATGCGAGTAGATGTATCGCTGCAAAACTGGTATGCAAAACTTTTGGAAGATTTCGGGCTCAAGTTTGTAGCTGTTCTCCTTGTAGACAATTGCAAAATTACACAACGTTTCAGTCAAGCCTCTAATAAATAGTTTATCAGCCACCAAAATATTGCCCTGAGGGAATCATCAAAAAAGGAATTTTGTTATTATTAAATAACAAGTACTTCAAACAACTACGAGACTTACGTTACTGTAATCGATGATGCAGTCTGCCGTCGCTCCTTCCTTTAGCAAATGTTCTATATGTTCTATCACATTTTTAACGTGCTTCTCTGGTGTCTCCCGCTGCTCAATCACTGGCGACTTCGACTCGTTTTCGACATACTCTAGTCTCTGTCTCAAATGATATATAAATAATTGAAGTTACATCTTTACATTTGTATGTCATTTAGGTGACAAACTTACATTGGTCTCAATGAAATCGATAACTTCGTTGTCAGGCATAAAGTCGGACCAGTGCAGGTTGAACTTGATCCACATGGAACGGGTGAAGTTCGGTCCTACTTCTCGTGTACAATATGTCAAATAGGTTTTGAGGAACTTTTTACCCACGTTTGATGGGCTGTTGTCTTTCAGATAATTGTTCCACAGATCTGATACCGTCAATATTTTCTTTACAATTAGTGGCCCTGCGAAGGAATCGATTAATGACATGTCAGAAATGGAAGTCATGCTTTTGTATTACCGGCAAATTGCAGAATATACAGCCAGAGCTCTGGAATATCAAAAATTAAATCGTTTGCGCACTCGGCAAATTCTTTGTACGCCAGTCTAAAGTGATCCACGGAGATGTAGTTATGTTGTATGAGATGCGCCACGGTAATGGCCAGATACCGTCTGTACTGTTTTCCTACATTCGCCAGATGCAAATAATCGGTTAATATGTAGTACAAGAAACCACAACACATGTCCTCTGGTATCCGCTTCATACACCCAACTACCGTCGGAGTTACACTTTTGGATGCAGCAGCCAGCTCAATCATTTCCGAGACAACCGCCTTGATGAGCTTTATGTCAGCATCACTGGGCTCGCTGAACACGGCCACCGGTGCCACTGATCGATTTATCTGTACGGAAGTTGTATCGGCACTGGTACTAGACGCAGCTGACTGCTGATCGCCACCTCTGTAAAGGCCTCCAACGTTGATAGCAGAACTTCCTAGTGAGCTTTGTGCCTGTTTGTGAATAAAATATTTATACAATTATTTATTAGAGACCAAGCTAATAATTATATGATTCAGTTTGTCTTTCATGGGCCAACTAAAACACTTTAGTTCCGTTTTTTGGAGCCAAAACTTTAAAATCAAAAGTTTTAGCCTGCTGTTCGAGTTTCGCTGACCATGACAACCGATCCGATTAAATTACGTCTGAATCCTTTCCTACTAACAAAGTGGGAAAAATAAACAGGATTTTGTTAGCTACCTTGCCAGTAATTCGAGCTGATGGAGCCTGTTGTGTATATTTTGAGTGACTAGCAGACTTCTGAACTGAAGAGTTCATCAAGCCGCGACCCTGCTGTCCAGCGCGAGAAGACGAATTCTCCCGCGATCCCTGTGATGATCCAGAGACTTTGGAGCTAAAATTCGTTAACTAAACCTAAAATATGGAAAAAATTAACAAAAAATACCTTTTGGAAGGTTGCGAACTCAACTGCCCATTGGGAACAAAGGAACGCGATCAGGTACCAAATGTACAACCCTTTTTCTTTCGCTTTTTTCCCAATTGGTAGTTGGGCCCGCAACCTACCAAAAGGTATTTTTTGTGCATTTTTTCCATATTTTAGGTTTGGTTAACGAATTTTAGCTCCAAAGTCTCTCCATAGATTTTAATGAGCGATACCTCAAACGACGCCAAATTAACGCACCTATACACAAA